CTGTGCAGATACTTCTAGTTCCACTCCATTTACAATATAATTCGAGTTAGGATTATTATTCAGATTAATATGAACTACTTTACACTTGGCAGGATTGATGTTTAAGTGCCAAAAACTCTCCCAAATTTCGAGTTCTAAAATATCATCAGATACACTTCCATGGTTAGCTGCATTACAAACTAACTTGAGATCATCTGCAAATAATTTAATCTTATTTTTAACATTGTCAGGTAAATCGTTTATATAAAGAATAAATAAACTTTGGTTCTATTATTCTATTCTGATGGTTGTCGGTTTACTTAAGTTTTTTTCAGCAATCTAGTTTAATTTCCAGTACCTCTAGATCGTGTCTTGTATCATCCACAGTGAACTCACTTATCGAAAGATCATTCAAACAACTTCCTAAATTATATGCCACCTCCAACAGAGTGCAAACTTTCTGTTTTGAAGAGGTAACTGTAGAACAGGTCAAAGAATAATATGTACTCAGTATTATACCATCAGATAAATCAGTTAATAATATTATGCCAATCAAAGTATATTATGTATAAGTATATCATCCCTGAAATTATTGAATCAGTAGCTCATATTGTAAATCTAAGCATGAAAAGTGGAATAATGCCGATGGCATGTAAAATTGCATCATTAACTCCAATTCTCAAGAACGGGGACCCTAATGATCCAAATAATTATCGACCAATATCCATACTCCCCTTACTTGGAAAATGATTAGAATACTTTGTCAACCAACAGCTTACCGAGTACGTTGAAACAAAAAAAACTGCTCACCAACCATCAGTATGGATTCAGGAAAGACCATTCAACCATTTCCTCATGCTCAATTTATTTGACAACATATTTATGTTTAAAGAATCACTAAAGAAACCTGCAATTGTATTTTTAGACATAAAAAAAGCCTTTGACACTGTTAGCCATAAGGTTCTGTTATGGTGCAGATCATACCTTCATGCCCACAGTACAATGTTTTTTGTTTGTTTTAAAGACCCGAGGGCCACCCTTAAGGGCTTTGAAACCGGTTTATTGACAATATAGTATATAAATAAACTGAAATCGTAACATTCATGTCCATACTAACTGAACTAATATAATCTGTAGTTAAAATAATAATACCTACTGTCACTTAATTAAGATATATGATGTAATAAAATGAATCTCTTTTATTTCCACACTAATTCTCACACCAAGTTTTAATTCACAAACCAAAACTTTAAATTTTATCAGATTACAAATGTCCTAATATATACGTCTCTTATCTTTTAGTTAAAAAGTCAGGGGTGCAGCCGTTTAACTTCAATTAAAATTAAAACAATTCATCACGCTGGATCACGATGTTATTCTATCAAAATCAGCTCTAGGCGTTATTTGAATTGATTGCTGGGCTCTGTGTGGTACTGTGTAGTGGTAAGTGGGTGCGTGTGCGCGACTGCGCGTGGTTGTTATTACGATGCGTTGAGATCATCTACGTTGATGATATGTGATTGTGCGTGTTGTGCTGATAAGGCTTTAATTGAGCGATGGCCAGGAGTATTATCAGTAAACTAGTAGCAGGTCTGGCAGTGAAAATTTTCTGATTTCAAAAGTGGTCGGTAATTATTAGTTTTGAAGTGCTTTCGTAACTAAGAAGTTTGTTGAATGAATGCCTCATGTTGTTTAGATAGTTTACTAATACTAAGTTATGTTGTGTGGTGTGTGATTTTGTGACCGTTGAGATTTCCTTAAACCTGGAATATTATTCAGTAAAAAGGTTTGCCAGCTTTCCTCGTTATTGCCTCTTGATTGGTATTCCAATAGCACACGTTTTGCATTAGACTTGTAAATGTTTATTGAAAATAAGCTGGGAAGACAATTTATATTTAAGGTTGTTTCAGTGATGGCAAGCAGTGGACCTTTAAAAAATACTGATTGTCTAAAAGTGTTACTACCGTATGTAAGAAGCCAGTCGGAGCTAGTCTCATGGCTGGAGTTAACTGTCGGGATATTACTTGGAAAAAGGCCTTTGATTGATTTTGGCACTGTTTCAGGGAAGTATTTCATCCTGTGCATTAATATAAGTGCGTTCTTCACTATAATTCCATGAATAGTGAGAATTCCATACTCTTTAAAGCTATCCCTTGTGTGTGCAGGCAATTGGCCGTCCTTGTAGAAATAGTTTACGTAACCTGGCATAACCATTCTCACACCTTGTTTCTGTTTTGTGAATAGTGACTCAATGTGTGATTTGGTTGCGAAACCCCAGACGAGGGAGCAGAAATTGAGGTGGGATTGAACAAAGCTGTGATAAATTTGAAGCCGGACTTTTAACGGTAAGTGCCGTTTAATTTTGTACATGATACCCATGTATCTATTCATCCTGGCCCAAACGGCATGTATGTGTTTGTTCCACGTTAATTTATCATCGATTATTACTCCGAGGAAACGTGCCTCAGTTACTTGATCTATCACTACTCCAGCTATGGAAACATTCATGTTAGAAAGGGTTGTCGTTCTATGATTGCTAAATACCATAAAGTGAGTTTTTTTTGAGATTGAGAGCGAGTCCGTTGCTATCAACCCATTTGATCAGGAGCGATATTAACAGTTTTTGACTGATTTGAATGTCCTGCACTGCAGATCGAAGCATCTCTAAATTATTTACTATTTTCAAAACATATCATCTACTCCATCATCGGGGCAGGGATGAGGTTGTACAAGACTTCTGATAGAGGGGTCTCATGTTTGATGTCAATCTTCGTTCCTCTGTACTCACGAAGAGCGATAAGAGTTGTTCTGACCATATATATAACAATAAATCTTATCCTTGTTCTTGCATGCCTAACTACATCACAGTACCTCTCCTTCCTCTTTCTAGCGATAAGATCTGCTAATCTGTTGACAAAGTGCTTACAGTCTTTCAACATACCTCCAGATGTGAGAAATACAGCCCCAGTGGCAAATAGTCAGGCGTCCAGGAATTTAACACCTAGTCAAAATTTGTTGATAACCGGTAAAATAAGATTCTTGTGCAAAAAATATTCACATTAATTCAAAATTAAATTAAAATTAATCGCTCTCAGGGCTCACGCGATGTTACATTACTTTATAGACTCGAAGTTCGAATCGAGCGCATTCCTAGATTCCATGACTATTTCTTACCTATAAGATTGCTTGACTATTTTTTGCGCATTCAGACACCAAAAAACGCGCAGAAAACGCACGCTATCCATTCCTGCTTCCTCAACTTCCCGGAATATGAAAAAAATAGTCATGTAAAATAGTCATGTGAAATAGTCATGCAAAATTTCAGCTCTGATACGCTAAAATATCAAGTTAATCTTAAACAATCGACAATCTATGAATCCTCCCAATCCTCCCAGCCATATTAACTGGTGAACGGTGTAAATATAGAGCGGTATTTTAAAATTTAGCATTCAAAATTTTATGGATTCAAGTTGGCTCCTTTAGTTTCACATCCGAGACCGATTTCCACGATCAATTTAATATTGTAGCTACAAGTCAACAACAGTGTAAGTGGGAAGGAAGTGAATCTAGCCATTGCTACTATATCAGGGGAACTCGTGTGTTCTAGGCTTAAGCAAGCTTCACATCCTAGATCATCTAGAGTACAGTGCAAGTGTGAAACAGTACTTTAAAATTGTATTTTTGATTTGCTCGCTTCCGCATTTCAATAATACTCACAATTTGGTTTTAGAGTTGTATACTTTCCCTAAGATTAATTGTAGTCTAGTCAATTACTATGTCAAACTACTACTACTACCAGTACTACTACTACTATGTCGAAACTAAGTCCGATCTACGCCAGATAACCCCCTCCATTATACATCCTTATCCCGCTTTAAATCCGAAGTTTGCCATCGTATATATAACCTGGCAGAAGCAAGCTTCAGATCCAAAGTCAGTTCAAAAGTATCAACACAGGATCGAAACCACTTCTAAAGTAGCGAATCGTCCAATGTGTTGAGGATAGTTAAGCCTTAGCGCTCTATCTGATATGCAAGTTTGGGGCCTATATACTGCGTTTTAAAAATATTTCCTTGCGTTTCAAATAAATCAAAGAATTCTCAGAAATTTTTTATTTAATTTCAAAATTTACAATTGCATATTCATCCGGTAATTATTCTAATGGATACGCTAAGCATTTCAAACTAATCTTGACCTCGGAGAAGAGCTGACCAGTGTCCAGTCGGCCGCAGAGCGGCCGAAAAATATATAGCCTTTTTTTCTTCCCAAACTGGATTCCTAGTCATATTTAAAATTTATTCCACTGGGAATACAGCCAGGGTGAAGGTTGCCTCACTTATAATTGTCCTACTAATGTAATAGGACATTTTCATGATTTTAAAAAAATCACCTGAGTCTTCTATGGATAATCAGTTTCTAGTAGCTTGATCGTCTATTGTGTAACTCATACTGACCTCTAGGAAACAGCAGAAATGCTTCAACTTTTAAATGTTTCAAAACGTCTCCTGCTATTCTGATGATTGTCGGTTTACAAAAGGTTTTTTTGTTGTTGCTGGTAATTTAGATTTCAGTATACCAACCGTTTCTTGCATTCTGCTTGTTACTTGTGTCATCAGATTAACCTCACTGAATAGTCACTGATCAACAATTCAGTCGAAGGGTGACATTTTTGTCAAGGAAATGGAAAAAATCTTATTTAAAAATTTTCCAAAATATCTCATTTTAATTTTATCTCTCACCACGTGACTTGGTTTGATCGTTTTTGTAGTGCAGCCAAACAAAATGGTCTTGATTTAATCCCAAACAACAACCCTAACCCTAGAACCCTACCCCCAAGGCTAACCAAAACCTTAACCACAACTTAAACCGTAATCCCCTGAAATGCCTACATGTTACAGTATCAAGACGTTAGATTTAAGAATTATAGAGCATGAGAACATTCTTAAACCAAGTCTAATTTCTTGAACATTCTATATTCTATAGAACAACAAGTTTTCTAACTTTGTTCTCTCCATTTTTAGCTGTAGAAAATGGCTGAGGCTTCACAGAAAATAAATTTTCAAACTGCTATGGAGGATTTCAAAAACATGTTTCCTCACCTGGAGAATTCCTTGATTGAGCAGGTATGTTATATAATTGGTTGAATATTAATCACTTTGTTTCAAATTTAATATTTAACATGATGTATCATGAACTTAAATCATATTGTGCTTAAATATCTAAAACTATTAAAGATACCTCACCTAGCTTTGACTGCTTCTCACATCAATAATTGATGTTGTAAGCCCTCATATATGATGCCTAAATTTTGTAAATTCATCTCCAAAAGAAAGTAAAATGATTTGAACATTTATAATTTTTAAATCAAGCCCCAATCTTGTCCAGGTTCTGCGAAGAAACAATGGTATGGTCGATCAAACCATAGATGATCTACTAGCAATAAGCTGTGTTGAAGAGGATCAGCCTAGAAGTAGTGCAGGACCGTCTAACCTTATTGATAATCAGAATCAGTTACTGCGCCCAATTCAACAGGCACCTGCATCTGCGTGAGTTGATTATTAAATATTCTTAGGAGACCATTACACAGTTACATTTAACACTTTGTTTTAAGGATAAAAATCCTGTTCAATCAATTTCTTGCCTTCATTTTAATTCCTCATAATTTTGCAAGACTGTGTTTACAAACTATATTTAAACAGGTCTCGGACGTACCCGACTCTCTCGAGGCATCTACCACCAGGTGATCTGACTCTAACTCCACGCAGTCAGCAGCCTCCACATCAAAAGTATGGTCAGGTGCCTGTTACTTTCTTGGGAGTTCAGTTCAAGATCCCCTATGTAGACCCACTACCTCAGCAGTTCTTGAGACTTTCTGAACCTCCTGCACCTGCTCAGGACTCTCCGCTGGTATGGTTACTATGGTTACTGTGGTTATATTTGATAACATTTAAAAAACATAATGTTTCAATAAAATAGCTCCATGATGCATAAAAGAACTATCAAACTTAATGGATTATAGATTATATTCAAAGAGGAAGTTGAACAAGATTATATTTTGACTGCTACAATCAAAGTTCATAAACCTCATTTAGTAGAACTGGAGCATCATTCTCAGGGACAAAAGGAAATCGCGATTTTTAGCCAAAATAATCGCGATTTTCTTTTGTCCCTGTTCTCGATCTCTATCGAATGTTGAACCTTTTAAATTAGCTCAGATTAAAATTCTACACTGAATATATTATTATATATGTCACGCTTGGGCCTTGGATGGCTTGAATATTTCTTTTTGGAGTATGTTTTCATTGTCGAAGCGTGTTATAGATGCTAGAATTTATTCATTTAAATGGATTCTTTGTCAGCTTTCTCGTGATGCCCTCACATATTAGAGTGCATTATATTTGCATTAATAATGTAATTTCAGGCAGCCCAAATGTCGGAGGACAGAGAGTTCGCTCTCCTTCTGCACAACGAGGACTTCTTGGATCAGATGCAATCCAACCAGGAGTTTATGAGAACTCTAAACCAGGCTGAGAGGGGTGGGATTAGTACCGGTGCTGTTGGTGAGTTAACCTTTACTTACTTTAATATATCCGGGCGGAGCCGAGCAATATTTTAGCACACGGTCAAAACATTTAGATGGGGTATTTTGTCCAACCTCTAATGTAATTTATCCCCCTAATGATAACTCAAAATGTAGAGGCAGATTCCTCTGAGGTGGGGTTTACAACAAGTGCCAGTTTTAGATATCTCAAGAGAAGGAAGGATAAAACAATAAGTGATGTCGATGATGAAAATGGTAGTAGGTTTGAAAAGTCTGCAATCACTGAGACTCGATTTAGTTTTCTTGCTAATCTAGAGCTATTCAGTATTCACGAAATTTATTATTTACATGAGAATTTATGTTGCATCTTCTAGATTGTGTAAATCCCAGCTAGTCAAGTACAATTATTTTAATTATTGTGATCAAATAAGTATGAACAAGAATCAATGTTTCACGCAATCAGGCTCTGAATGAGTGTTAAACTTCCAATAAAATCTTTATAAAAATATAAATAACATTGGTATAAAATATTTTCTTTTGTAATGAGTACCTCACATTATTTGTTATATATATACAGGGGGGGGGGGGGGGGGCTGTAGTAGTGTTGAAAGTATCAAAGTGGTGTTGAAAGTATCAAATAAGTAATTTGTCGAGTTTACTACGGTACATCAAACAGGAGTTTAAATTTGATATATATATATCAGTTTTAATACTTTCAACACTACTATATAACAAATAATTTGAGATAACGATGTTTAATAAAATGATGCAAAGACTTATTTCGAAGATCTAATCAACACCGACTTTTAATGTGTAGGAGTACAGCTACAAAATATATATATATACAATGAAAACAACGATTCTACAAACTCAAAGTTTCATGCAAATGCAATCATCAGTGTCAGAATAACTTACTAAATTACTAAATTTTTTTTTGGAATTTAACGAAATTAGATATATACAGAATAGTATTACAGGTTATATATTATGAAAATCATCATTGCAAAAATAAAACCCAGTCCATGGGACTGAAAAATTAGTTGACTTTCGACTCGAAAGAGTTAAATTCTAAATCATCCATGTTAGATAATTCGTAAGTTTTGTTTGAGGTATTTCTTGATCCTCTAATACACAATAAAATTAATAATCCTAAATTCTGCTTATTTGGTTCACAGGTTTTTCCTAGACTCCGTGTTAGGACATTAGCTTTCTGTACCACTTTTTCGTTATCTTAGAATTTATTCTGCTTTTATTTTATTCCCACTCTCGATTCCTCGCTAGCAGTCCGGTTAATTTAGTACCTTTAGCGGGTCTCATTTAATCATTAGGTATTATTAATCCGGAAAAAGATCACAGCTATATTCAAGGAGGAAGGACTAAAGATCACAATAGAAACCAATCTCGTTGAAGTCGACTTCCTAGACGTGACACTTAATCTTGACAGTGGGAAATACTTCCCCTTCCGAAAGCCAAATGACACACCGCTATATATCAACAAGCAGTCAAACCAACCACCAACAATCATAAACCAGCTCCCCAAAATGATAAACCGGCGTCTATCGGACATCTCCTGCAATAAAGAAGAGTTTGACAAAGCGAAAGGGATTTACGGAACAGCACTTAAAGAAAGCGGCCACGACCACCAACTACAGTTTACAGATACTAGCACCGCCTTGCCACGAGCCAACAGGAAGAGATCCAGGAAGATCATATGGTTCAACCCCCGGCCCCCATACAGCTCAAATGTAACAACAAACATAGGCAAAAGCTTCCTCCGATTACTAGACAAGCACTTCCCCAGAGGACACCAATTCCACAAAATGTTCAACAGAAACACAATTAAGCTATCATACAGTTGCCTACCCAACGTAGGATCCATCTTAGCGAGCACCAGACACCAAGCTCAGAAAGAACCTACAATTAAATCGAAAACGTGCAATTGCAGAAAGCCGGAAATGTGCCCACTGAACGGACAATGCCTGGAAGCAGCAGTGATATATGAAGCAACTATTGCAGTGGAAAAGGAAAAGAAAGAGCACAAATATATTGGGCTTACTGAAAACACTTTTAAGACCCGTTTCAGTTCACACACAAGCTCTTTCAAACTCGAGAAGCTACGAAATCAGACGGAGCTATCTAAGAAAATATGGGAGTTGAAAGATAAACAAACACCATATAAAATATCTTGGAAAATAATCAAACATGCTCATCCGTACAAGGGGGTAGTATGAAAGATTGTCATCTCTGCCTTACTGAAAAACTTTATATTATTTTAAATAAAGATGGCAATCTATTAAATAGGAGGAGGGAACTCATAAGTAAATGTAGGCACACCAACAAGTTTATGCTGAAGAAATGCTTTTAGGAATATTTTATTTTAATTTTAGTTTTTGTTCTTGTATTTCATTTTCGTTTCGTTTCGTTTGATTTTGTTTTTGATTTAGTTTAGTTAAGTTAATTTTATGAAGGAGCTTGTAAGGAAAATATGGATTTAGTAATTTAGTAAGTTATTCTGACACTGATGATTGCATTTGCATGAAACTTTGAGTTTGTAGAATCGTTGTTTTCATTGTACAATGCTCCCCTCCCGGGTAGAGCATTCTTGAAACTGGATTTCTCCAAAAGAAACATCATATATATCACCCCCCGCGCGTGAGGGCACGTTTTTGCTAGTAATTTGCGACATTACTTTATGGATATCGAATCTCGCGACTTCAACGAAGTGCCGGGGACAAGTTTTCAATAATTCATAAACTTTTCAGTTCCTATCGTTTTAAGCATCGTTAGGGCTTTCCCAGAAACTAACTCTCGTCATCCTAGGATAATCATGTGTCGCACAGCACTTGTTTCAGTAGAGAGTGTACTCGCCTTTACGAAAGAATGACGTGTACGTTTTGGTCACCTGCGGAAAAAGGAAGTGAGATATCGAAAATCTGAGATAAACCCGATCGATAAAATCCTTTCAGGTAGGTGCTAGTCAAGGTTTCATCTCTTTAGACATTAAGATGGCTTCAAACACCTCACAAAAAGTTTTCAAAAGTAAAATTTACTCGCGACTTACAAAAAACCACCATAAACGTGCCCTCATAGATTTTTGAGGGCAAGTTTTTGAGCGCGCCGCTGAGCAACACTCAACAGCAAAAGCTGGTATAGTTACAATCTCGCAACTATGAACAGACAAGGAAAATATTGTATTAATATCTGTCAAAGGAATTTAATGTATTTTAACAACTTGTTCTAATAATGCTAATAACTAATCGATGAACCTCATAAATGGTCGGCCCGGTGTGAGTGTATAGTATGGATTGTGCTCTGAAATGGGGCGCTGTTATTGGTTAATACAGCGGCCAATCAGGATCGAGCTGGTTTGTGGCTGCAGTCCAAATTTAGGATCATATCTGATAAGGTACCTAATTAGTGATTATGCACTTTAAAGTAAGATTAACTCGGTATTCACAATCCACATTAACAATTGTCTGCAACCAATCAAGGTCAAGCTGACTACTTAACGTGAAAATCATATTATTATATACTATATAGTGTTTGTATCATTATAAGACGACTCATGTTTCTGACATGTCACTTGTCAGTTAAGAGGTGAAATGAAAAGACAGTTAGACTCTCATTTGATGTACACATTTTTCTGAATTGTACATGTAACAATGTTTATCAGTAATCTGTAATCAGCATATAAATCACATACCAATGTATCAAAGTGAAAACTGAAATCTTACCTGACAACACAAATTATAATAGTACCATTTTAACTCTCATGCAAGTTTACTCTTCTACTGCACTGGTTTTAATTGAACTTCCAAGAACTGTCCGGAAAATAAATCAGTCAAAAGCAAAGCCCCCGAATGCACTGTACACAATCTTCGTAATTACCCAATGTATTTTATCGTGTACACTGTACAGACAGTTCCAATTAAATGCAGAAGAGTTGTTTAATGTTCCCACTTCCCAATTACAATCATAACAAACTCAAAATTGAGGATTGTATACGGTACTAATTTTTGCCAAATAAGCACTATATAGACATCACAATTTTGATCAGTGTATATCCAGACTGGCGTGACGGCTAGAGCATCGAACTCCTCGCGCAGTGGTCGCACGTTCGATTCCCCGTGAAGTTCGCATTAATTTTTTGCCCAGATCACTCCGAGCACAATCATTTTTCATGATAAATAGAACATAAACAAAACTGACATGGGCCTGGCTATATCTAATTTTAAAACATAACCCGGGCCAGAATTTCTTGAATAACTGTTGAGTATCAGAAACCAGTGCAGAAAAAGAGAAGATATTTATCTCACTCCACTCTTTCTGCTGTTCTTACTGTTCTCCACCTCTGTTTTAGTGTCATTAACCGCTGCTGGTTCTTCTATCCTGAATGCTTGTTAAACCGGGGACCTGTATAAATATATAAGTTACAACTATTTTTTAAAGTTACAAATATCAGCTGATTTGCAAAATGTAGCGATTTAATCATGTGGATTGTGAATACCGAGTTAATCTTACTTTAAAGTGCATAATCACTAATTATATATAGGCACCTAATCAGATATGATCCTAAATTTGGACTGCAGCCACAAAGTCAAACCAGCTCGATCCTGATTGGCCGCTGTATTAACCAATAACAGCGCCCCATTTCAGAGCACAATCCATACTATACACTCACACCGGGCCGACCATTTATGAGGTTCATCGATTAGTTATTAGCATTATTAGAACAAGTTGTTAAAATACATTAAATTCCTTTGGCATACAATATTTTCCTTGTCTGTTCATAGTTGCGAGATTGTAACTATACCAGCTTTTGCTGTTGAGTGTTGCTCAGCGGCGCGCTCAAAAACTTGCCCTCAAAAATCTATGAGGGCACGTTTATGGTGGTTTTTTGTAAGTCGCGAGTAAATTTTACTTTTGAAAACTTTTTGTGAGGTGTTTGAAGCCATCTTAATGTCTAAAGAGATGAAACCTTGACTAGCACCTACCTGAAAGGATTTTATCGATCGGGTTTATCTCAGATTTTCGATATCTCACTTCCTTTTTCCGCAGGTGACCGAAACGTACACGTCATTCTTTCGTAAAGGCGAGTACACTCTCTACTGAAACAAGTGCTGTGCGACACATGATTATCCTAGGATGATGAGAGTTAGTTTCTGGGAAAGCCCTAACGATGCTTAAAACGATAGGAACTGAAAAGTTTATGAATTATTGAAAACTTGTCCCCGGCAGTTCGTTGAAGTCGCGAGATTCGATATCCATAAAGTAATGTCGCAAATTACTAGCAAAAACGTGCCCTCACGCGCGGGGGGTGTATATATATTATATATATATATATATATATATAAAATGAGACGGACAGGTAAAAAGCATTCGAAGCTCAGCAGGAGTGGCATTTTCTGTTGCACGTCTGGTGGACGTCATATATCAATAAATATATATTATATATATATAATATAATATAAGCTTCGAATGCTTTTTACCGGCGAAAATCTCTCTGATTTGTTCGCACTTCGCCTCCTATCTAAGAAATCCTGAATAGTATACTGCAAAATTGGCGATGAGCCCTAGTGGCCTTACCTGTCCGTCTCATTTTATTCCTGGCTTCTATTTTTCTATTTACCGAGCACAATATATTCTTATCTTATACAGATTATAGAGCAGGGTCAGAGGAAACATTTGACATCGATATCTTGATATTATATATTGTGTACATCGTGATATAACATGTACCATGTAAGATATAGGCTTGATTTATATAAAATATAAAGTTGTATAGTGTAAGACATGTATTACACTGCCACTATCAGATCCGCTAAATGATTGCAGTTAACCCCCCGGTTAGTTAACATTCCTTGCATGTCTAGAAGTTGCAGGATAGGTGTGAGATCATTTCAGAGTTTGTAGTGCAGTTTATATTATCTAACTCTGCAGCTAGTCTAGAAGTTGCAGTGGTGTGAGATCATTTCAGAGTTTGTAGTGCAGTTTATATTATCTAACTCTGCAACTAGTCTAGAAGTTGCAGTGGTGTGAGATCATTTCAGGGTTTGTAGTGCAGTTTATATTATCTAACTCTGCAGCTAGTCTAGAAGTCGCAGTATGAAAATAAGTTGTAACTTAATGATGCGATTCGAATTTATTTAATACGTTTCCTAAAAATAAACCGACGTACACAAAATTGCAGAAGATAGGTTTTCTAAAGTTTTGTTAGCTTAACATTATCCAACATGGTTCATGTGTGTCTGACCTTAGTGAACTCCAAAGTCCAAGCCCAATATTGGTCTTACTGTAGTCCCGGTGTGATGATGAGAGGATTGAACTACCTTAGGGCCAATAAATTTGGTTCACAATAAATTTGGTTCACAATAAATTTGGTTACCATAATTTTGGTCACAAATTTCGTAAAATTTTAGTCTACAACAGTTTTAGTCACATTTTTCGACTTTTCGAGACCATTTTCCATTATTTATTTGATTTTTTCCATTATTTATCTAGTTTTTATTTCGATTTCGCAAATAAAGTTAGAATTTATAGTTTAACGTTATGTATGTTGATTAAATGATTTGTTGCAATAAAGAAATAAAACAAATAATTTGTAAAATAAAATTCTATCTATCAATTCGGCGATGAGCACCCGTATGAGCATTACAGAGTAAGGTGCAATGCATTACTCAGGAATTTTAATAACATCAGATCCATAGTCTGTGACTCTGTATCACTAAGTTCTTCAGTACGCTGTTCGGTTTCTTTTTCACCCTTTTTCGACTTTATCATTTTTGTCGGTACGACGTAGTTTATGTCGATATGATCCTTCAGCCGTTTCAACAGAACATGTTGGGATGGATCGATTAAAAATGTTATGTCCAAGAGGAGCTCTAACCCTTTAAGTGCAATAGGACTTTGGTACAGTTTTGTGCTTCGTAGTTTCACAACAGTCTTTCCTCCCAACAAAGTGGTTCATCATTAGGAACAGTGATGTCATTGTATTAATTATAAATAATGTAAGCTCAATAACATTTATGTCATATAATATGCTCTACTGAAATTTAGTCTCATAAAATTTGGTTTACAACAATTTTAGTCAAAAGTTTGACTAAATTTATGGGAGACTAAATTTGTCTTTCTTAAGGTATTATTATATAAGGTATATATATATGTAATGGTGTAATTTTTGTCTAACAAATCAAACAATGATCTGTCAAACTTTATACAATAGCTTCCTACAGATAATTATATCTTCCTACATTCGTAGTCCAGTTAAACCATTGCATCTCTAGTTTTACTTTGAGTTTGTATAATATGTTACATTACGTATCCGCCAAGGCCAGGGAGCTCTTTTTTCACATCGGGCGAGGGGAGCCGACTTGCAAAAGGCCCTGTCAGATTCCAGCCGACTTGCAAAAGGCCCTGTCAGTTTCCAGCCGACTTGCAAAAGGCCCTGTCAGTTTCCAGCCGACTTGCAAAAGGCCCTGTCAGATTCCAGCCCGCTGAAAATACACATCATTGAGGCTTTAATTTGCATTTTGTAGCCCTTGTAATCTCCTTTCACTGCATAACCATTAACCGCATCGCATAATTTGATGTTGTTGGATAGGATATCTGGAATGTGGCTTCGACAATTGCGCTAAGATGATCTCACATTATTCAACACTATGTTTTAATAATTCTCACGGCAAGGAACATCAGCTTACTTACCCACAGCTACAGCCCTAAGCAGCGCGTTATATGATTGGCTCCCATTGAACACGTGATATGTTACCATGGTTACAGAAACTCGTGGCGACTCATAGTCTGGGGTGTCTCCATTACATGCATAAACTGTTACCATTTCGTTAATTGTTCACTATTTCGGTTAATAAGTCTGTCCCTTTCATAGTTGACAAACTTATGGTGAGCGCCCATTTTGACTGAAATAATTGCTTGATCGGCCCTGCACAGTAAGTAAAATTGCTTGATCGGCCCTGCACAGTAAGTATAATTGCTTGATCGGCCCTGCACAGTAAGTATAATTGCTTGATCGGCCCTGCACATTGATTACTGTACTGTACTGTACTGCACATTCAGTTTATTCTGTTCATCAATTTAATTAGGTTTATACTGCTCCTTTTGAATTTATAAGCAGAATTGTTTTTTGTACGTCTGCTCCTTGTGGTGGTGTAAGCTGAATCGTTTTTTTAATTTAGGCCGGATTTTTAACCGCCAATAGATTTAAACCCCGTTCTAGAAAATTAAACAGTCAGGAAAATAACCGTGGCAATTTCCTGGTACTCTAAATTCTAGATCACTTAAAACAGGCACCTTATAATTGTCATCCTAGCAACTTAGTTTAAAAACTGCTTAAATATGCTTGATATATAATAATCTTGTGTCGTATCATTAGGGGTGCTCTCTTATGTTATAATACACTATATTATATTACGTACGTCCGCGTTGCTAAGTAACCAGTCATTGAGAGTGTATATGATATAGGATTATATATACTGATATAGGTAAGGCTATTACTTTACTATTGACTTGTCTACCCGGAGTAGTTTGTTTCCTTGTGTCAGATGTTTAAAGTGCACTTATGTGTCTACTGTCTAGTTGTGTTTATCCTACAGTGCTTATCAGTAGTATTTTTCAATAATGTTATTGCGTCTCAAATTCTGTGTAACCTCATGCAGTTACTTGCAATTGTCGGTACTACACAGTGTATTACAGAGCATTTTGCTCAATAGTAGCCACCGCTGATTTCGAGTGTACGATCTAGCTGTTGTTTAATTGCTCCATGCTCCTGAGTTGAATTGCTCCTGAGTTGACGGTATTATTTGCAAGATTTCACATACTCTTGTTGACGCCATGTTTACTACTCTTTAATTCTACAACCTCATTATATCTTTACTTTATGTTTACTACTGTTTAATTCTACAATTATATCTTTTATAGCAATCTATTTATTCCTTTATACTAAGTATACGAAGTTGATGCTGCATGCATCAGTCATATGTGATATGTAAGCTACAAGACTTTGTCACTCTACACGTTAACGGATATGCTACTATCGACAGAGAAGGTAATTTAACGACGTGCTTTTCTTTATATTTATTATATTTTGCGAATCTTTATCCTAGTTATTAAAGTTATAACTTATGTAACTTATGATTAGCCGTCCGGCCTTCTCAAGTTTATTGAAAAAATCGGCGTCCGCTTTAAGAATGTTCACTATTACTAACCTAAATTGTCATGGCAAGACGGGATTGTTGACTAAGAACGCTAATTCCACTGTTGTACAATAATAGCGCATACGTTATACTAGTGTACAGTCCACATGTAATACTAATAGGAATAATCGTTTCCTGTTATTTTGATGGGAAATAAAGTATAAAGTTAAGGTATACGAGCTCTTGTTGCTAGTGATATATATTATGCTTCTTTACATAATAATATGCAACACTCGGACATTGATGATCGAACAATTTGTTGCAAAATAGAATTCCTCTAACTCAAATCCCTACTAGCTCTCCTAAATAGCTTTTATTGTATCTACATTCTACAGTATCTACAGTATCTAGTGTATATAATAGTGTACAATGTATATACACTAGTAGTATGTAGTGTACAATGTATATACACTAGTTGCTACACTTTAGATAGTGTAGCAGTAGCCTGGTCAAGAATTTACATAATTTAGACATTTCCTGCTCAATGCTTTAAATTTGGTCCACACTACTCACTAGCTATACTATAGATAAGAGATAATACCTACCAGTACTCCTACCTTCTTCTTGTGATAGATTCTAAGAAGAGCAACATTCAACAATAAGTTTAATAGCTACAGATCTGTTCAATGTAAATGTAGTGTGAATGTAAAATTGAACATTGAGACTGAAATTGTTATTTATACTCCAGACTGAGAACAGCTATTATTTATAAAACTTAACATTTTGAATTTTGATTCTTTCATGATTTGCATTTAGCAGAGATATGAATATCTAAGATGATCAATATTATTTCATACAAATTGATACGATGATCTAAAATTGTTGTATGTAGATATTGATATATCACTAGATACTGAATAAGTAATGACATAAAGTACCAACGTTATTTAAAACTATCATTAACAGAGCTGCTATTTCAGAAGCAGTTGCTGCGAGCAGTAGTTCACGGAGAAGTGAGGACGGTTCAATAGCCCAGCGCTTATCAGAGACAGGTCGCGCGACTCGCTCCAAACTACTGAAGATAGCGCACAAACTTGACTGGAGACGATCTACTTCATCTGGGTACGTATTATTTAGTTTAAATCTTAAGATTTAAATAGTTTAATAGTACATGTAGTTACATTTTCATTTAAATATTTAAATACAGGAAAACATTAAACTCCGGACCGAGTCAGTTCCAGGAAATTTAGTGTTAATCTAGTTAAGATTTCTTAGTGTATCATGATTGTTAAAAGTAAAGAGTGGTTTATAAGGAGGTTTATAGTCCTGCCACTGACGAAAGTTTGCATCATGTGATTACATATTATAGGAGTCCGTTCAAGACAGACTCAAATAAACCTGACACGGTACCTGACAGGTAAGGGATGCTGTGTTTTCTGGCTAGTTCTGGGGAATTTGCGGCATTTTTAATGGAATTCGGAAACCAACTCTTATCTTAGCTTATCTTATCAGGGTACTCCAGAATTAACTGTTCTCACAACATGAAGCTGTAAGAATATTTAATTATTCAACTTTACATTATAAGTGTCATGTGTACACTGTACACTGTACACTGTACACTGTACACTGTACACTGTACACTGAACACTGTACACTGTACACTATACAGTTAATTCTGGGGCACTCTTTATATTAAATTACAAAAACTTGCCTTGCAGAATGCTTTGTAAGCCTTCCTTTTGCTTCAGGTTGAAGATGTTATTTAGTTCCAATTAGACATTTAAGTCTCATAAAGTTAATTATGGGCCACTTTGTATATTAAATTACAAAAACTCGACTGCGGAATGTTTTGCAAGCCTTCCTTTTGCTTTTCTTCCACAAAAACAAAGACCAGTTTTTATAATCGTAACAAATCATTGTACTTGTGTCTTGTAGCCGAATAATATTAACCAAAAAAACTAATGAGTCAATCTGTGACAAGCACACAACATTTAGTTTGTACTTATATATAGTCTAATATCCTGATAATGTATACTGATAATGTATACTGATAATGTATACTGATATCTGGATATTATCCGGTTGGAAGAGACAAGGACAAGTGAAACAAGGAAGTTAGGAGTAAGGGCAAATTTTCGGCGTCAACGCCATCTTCAGGCTAAAATTGTTATAAATGTTAGTATATAATAAATGCTTCTATACTAGTATAGAAAATTTGCCCTTACTCCTTACTTCCTTGTTTCACTTGTCCTTGTCTCTTCCAACCGGATAATATCCAGATATCAGTATTTCAATCATGAGACTAATAAACAGCGAACTACTCCGTTATTTGATAATGTATACTGTATAATGTATACTGTATAGTGTATACTGTATAATGTATACTGTATAGTGAGCACACTGACGGCTGACCACTATATTATATTATACTCTTTATATATGCCACCAGCTATTATCCCACCCTAACACCCAAAAGAGCTACCAGCTACCGCTTATTTACCAGGGTCCGCTGTCCTGCAACCCCGGCCACTGCTAATATGCTAATATGCTATATACGAGAGAACTGTTCAGATCGGCAGCTAAAATATCAGCTGGATTAAACAGTTCACTCTCGTGTCCTGATAGCCCACAGTACAGTGTACACTTGCTGACACATATGAGACCACTGAAGAAATTAATGCTCTGACACAACTTTCACATTGTTACTTCTTAAAACAGAGATCTGAAGTGTCTAAATTATATATTTTTTAATTGACGAAAAATTGTGCTCCAAATTTGAACATGCAATAATTTTTGTAGATTCACGTTTCTCAAACCCGAAACTGGTTAGTTTCCAGTAGTAAGTATCCTCTCTAGTTTTATTCTTAAGTTGGTTCAGCGGTTCTTCTGAGTGCTCACTTTCCGTACAGTAATTTAGCTATTCTTTTCTAACCGGAAATATGGATTAGATCACCATCTACAGACAAAATTTTCTGTAAATAAATTTGTGTTCATATCTTCCTATATCCGGTATTACACAGACGTATTGTAATTTGTAAATGGTTGAGTATGATTATCTTGTGTCATCTTGCAGATCAAGTAAACAAAGACAACCATTACTAAATGAGGACGATGACGAGGAGGGAGCTCCTTTGTTTGAAGGTTGGAACTTGTTTTAGATTTATCCTAAGCTACTCAAATGTTTTGGTAATACTAATGCCCGATTTATTTTTAGATTTCTAAGAGTGTTTTGCCCATAATTGACGCGTGCTCTCCTATTTAGAGTGTACCCCAACAATATTTTCACAGAACCTAATTATAAATATCAACTGGAGCGCTGGGCGCGAAAAAATATTCTGTGAATCTTATAGCGCGAAAAAACGCGCAATTGCGCGCGCGCGAAAAACTAGGATTTGATATGCAATGGCATGATTATGATCTAAGCTAATCTACCAGCTAAGTACTAATTTAATGCGTAATCTGAGGGAGAACTCTTTTATATTAGATGGGCCCTTATGTCATCTTGGAGGTCCATAATGACGCCATACAAACGATTTTGATTGATAACTTAGGATCGGATATCATACACATGTGTTATACCACATTTTCAACTTTTGGAAAATACAACTAAATCAAATTGGCTTACAGCACCAAAAATTCCTTTATTTCATAGACATAGTTTGTAATTTACCGTAACAATTGTTTTCACTCCTAATGACATAAGCATCACTTAGAACCGTGTAAGAGTAACACTTCATAAGACATAAAGCTAACTTAGCACATGAAGAACGTATACAATGTAGCCATACGTTATTAGCTCATGGAACATAAGCCTCTAAGTAGAGAGTTACCAAACTACTGTGTGTTGATCCAGTATTTACGGTTTGTGTGAGATGAATGATGTAACACTAATCTTAAATCACAAAGGCTCTGTATTTGAAATTTTATAGTGGGGCTATATTCTGCTTTGCAAATGAGTTAAATGGACGTATTGATGCGTTATTATTTGCTGTGAAAATATCAATGTTTGCTCATTATGGAAATACGATAGCTAGTAGCTGAGAGACAATTGTGCACACAAAACTAAATGTTACATTAATTTCAGAGCAGGGCGACGACGGTCTAATATTCTCTGATATGGAAGAAGCGGAAGAGGAAATGAAAACCATTCCCCGACAGAACACTCTCCAAGAGTTCGAAGACAACAGACAGGTAAAATTAGCGTATCTAAGGTATATTTATTACTCGAATTTCTCAATTCTAGGAGCACGGCCTCAAATGTATCAAAATGTCTGTTGAGATGTTAACACTACGATAGATTCTTATTCAGAGAGCCAGGGATGCTGTTGCGAGGCAGTTCAGAGGTGAGCGGCCTCCCCCTCCTCCAATTCCTCCTCCTGGCTGTCCCTCATCATCATCTACTGTAAGTAACATTATGTAATATCTTCTACATTAGCTTCAGTTAGGTTATTACACGGTGCATGTTTGTAATGTTAGAGTTCAGTTGTTCAAAAACTTCAATATCTGCAGTGCCAATCTATTTATAAGAAAGGTAGACACTTAGCTAGCCGGATGGTTTTATATGAAGGATACTCATTGTTTCTATCCCACAGATGTCACAGGACGACTTTTTCTCGACCAGTGGAACCCTAACTGATTCTAGAGTTGCTGTGAGTACTAAGGGGGGGGGGGGGGGTACACTACACTAAATAGCAGCTTCATAGTGGGTAAATTGCAAACATTTTGTTTGATGCAATAGATTAAATAATCCAGAAAAGCTAACATCTCACGTTCCCAGGGTGGTGCTTCCCACGAACCAGCTCTTCTCAACTTTGAAGACGATAAAGATAATATCTACGAAGACGACCTGGTTTCGCCCCTCAGTAATGAGTTTAATGACCGACCCTCAACTCCAATATACGCGTCAACGGACGAGATGCACCAGGATACAGTTAGTAACATGACCCTTGGGTCGGAAACCAGCAGCGTGTATGACTGTGATGTTCGTAATCGTGAAATCCACTCTGCCACACTTTCCAGCAGCTATCTCATTCCTATCAGGACTTTCCCTGACGAGGAGTCTGAGCGGTATGACAATATAAATACCAATCTCAGACCTAAGGAGGATAATTTGATTAAGTTTTGATGGGGTTGACTGAAGGCTCGAAGGCTGATTTGAAACACTTCTTGTAGACTTGAGTACTGATACGGTATATAGAAGTTGACACAAGTTTGTTTTGACATGACGTGACAACGTTTAAACAATCGGCAGGTACTCGCGGGTATCATGGTGGGGTCAACTTAATTCGTTAATGGAGTCGTTCACATATTACGTAATCATTTTTTGGAACATTTTTACCCCCCCCCCCCCCCCCTCCGTAATCAGTTTTACACATAGCTATTGTGTCAAAATTACACTAGCATAATCATTCGGAACCCCCCCCCCCCCCCCTCAGCTGATTACGTAATATGTGAACGACCCCAATCATTGAAACGTTTCAAACAAACTTGTGTACCTTCTTACCCGAATTTGACTTTATGAAATTATTATGGTGGTACTTTAGATTTGCGACTTTAGACGAAATATCAATCCGTATGAATTCCGCTGATAACTTAATGTTATGAACGTTGTTGCGAATAATACCATGCAGCTTGCTGACTTCATTGTCAATGTCTGTAGTAATTTACTTCTTATTATTGATCATAGATATTTATGTTTATAAAACAAAGATTTGTTGTTTGATCTCTTTGAAAATGAAAAGAATATCAGTTATTTTCTGTTAAAATTGCAACCTATGACGTCACAACATATTACGTCACAACCTATGACGTTCTATTTTTAATACATATTATGAAGACTTGTTCTGGCAACATGACTTGAAATGTAATACTACTTTTTTGTAATTTATTGTTCTTACCGATGATTAACGTAAAGTATTTGTTTACGATTGTAAGTGACAACTACTGCAATAATTTGAATTTCAGACTTTCTCAAGTGTTCGTATCTGTTGTAAATCAATGAGTATTATATAGATGCCGGTCTTGGTAATGTCAATTCCGAGAAGTACAAAATTCTCACCGATCGTTTCTCACAACAAACGAGCGTTTTTGGATGCTTGATCACTCCACAGTCTACATCCGAATATAAAGAAAAAAGTGAAATTAAGGTGATCCAGGAAAGTATATAGTTGAAATTGGAGAGTGTCCCAAAGTGTCCAGAAACTTTAAAATTTCGGTTGTCTTCCATTTTTCTTACCGAAATTTTAACTGTCAATACCTCTTGTGCCATCGAAGTCTAATTTGACAATTAGTCACTGGACAGAAATTCTGCCAAAACAGTGAAATTTAGTTCCAAGAAAACTTGTATAATTGTGATTTGACTATTTTCCACAAAGGGGACATATTGGTGATTTTCAATTCTTAATTCTAATTCTTTCTACAGGGCTTTGACTTTAAGTATCTCATACTTTAAGTGTCTCATTTATAATAATATAGAGCTCTGATCTAGTTTAATTGAACGAATTTAAGATTGAGCACGAATCACAAACGCTGGGTACATATAACATGTAATTGTATGCGAAGTTGTTCATCTGTTGTTCGTGAAAACATTTAAGTGGTAACTTTGGGAGGTAAATTTAAGTGGTAACTTTAAGGGATTTAAGTGGTAACTTTGTTGTTGTAATTACCAGTAAACCATTAAAATTATAATTTTTCATTATTTCAGTTTACGGACCGAAATAGAAATACGACACACACTGAGAACATTTATTGCGATCTCAGTGAACTTGCAGTTGCTCCTCAAAATCAACTCGACACTGTCATGACTCTAGACAGCTCAAGGGCATAAAATTAAAAACCGTCAAATAAACGGCTGAACAAGAGTTACCGATTTATTAAAAATTGAAACGATAGTTTAACATTTAATTAGGAAATGCCACGGATGGTATAGTTTATGGTATTGGTAATGGGTACCGGTGCCACGCACTTTCTCACATCTTCTGTATTCGATGAAAAAGTTAATGATTATGGTGATTAAAGTTTGTCCATCCAAATTAGGGTCGATACTAGATATCACAGTGCTGGCAAGCACGACCGTTGCATTTATTGTGGGTATACTATGTACCCCATTTACTATTATACCCCCTTTACTATTATACCCCCTTTACTATTATACCCCCTTTACTATTATACCCTCTTTGGTACACGTTTTACAAGCCTCTTTCGTGCACGTGCACGCGAAGCGTGCACTCCGGCCGAAGGCCGCCGCCTCCGGCAGGAGTTTTTCAGACATTAAGACTCATCGGAAGTCGTTCAGCAGATTTATTTTAGTTCAAAACATTCTAATTTGATGTCAAAGATGACAGGAATAAAAAATAGTTATGTTGAGATTTTTAAGAAATTTGCATAAAATACTCGCCAGCACTGTTATACGAAATTCGGTAAAAAACCCAAAATCGCCATATTCAGGTGCCTTAAAAACCATGTTAAAATTAAGTTAGAGATCTGAAATTTTTCAGGGCGTCTAGACGTTGACCAAATCGACTGCAAAAAAAGTTTCAGGTTTCAGGAACATCGGGAAGTGGGTTTTCTAGAACCCCTGTTTTATGACAGATTGTCGTGATATATACATATATACATATTCAGGGATAGACGCTTTGCCAGTCAATTGTAGCCTGTATTTAATTGTCCATAGATTCAAAAGTATAAAAGATACAGCCATTTCCGACCACAGGTCTTGAAAATAATTGTTTACACTTTAGTTTACATTGTACAAACAAATTATTTGACGTCATGAACACCCTTTGATGACGTCATCAAGTTAACCGTTTTTAAAACTTGATTTTTGACAAAGTAATAACTTTTAAAAATGATTTTACACCATTAAAAAGTAATTGTATTCAAAATCTGAGGAAATTTTCATCTTAGATAATTGTTCAAGCATTCTGAAAATCTACCGGAAAGTTTTTCTAGCTTGCTCCTTCATAAAGATATTCGTCATTGAAGTTTGTGCTTTTTTGAAGAATTATTTTATAAAAACGTCAATTTTGCGATTTAGTATTCTCTGGTGTTGGGCCATGCCTTGGGATGTGGAGCTCATTTCTGCTTCCTATAGGTATAAATTGTGCATTAGGCTAGTTTTAAAGTTGAAAATAGAAAAGTTGCACACGTGGGGACACGCCCAAATTGATAGAAAATTGCTAAAATCACTGAAAATTGCTGTTTTCGTCATTTTCTGTCAACTTTAGAGTGCCGTTGTGATTACAATTCTTCTTGAAATACTTTGAAACTTTGCATGCTTATCAAACTATATATAAAACAATTACATGCAAAAATTTACGGCGATTCAATATTGAATGCGCACGCAACGTCCGCTCAAAGTTTGCACGCGCGAAAGGTGAGAATTTTGCTCATTCGTGATTTCCAACAAATTCTGCTTTGCCACGACAGTTTAATGTCATTATATATGAATTTAATGCCAACTTGAATGAGTATTAAGTGGCATATTCAGTCAGTGATCGACCGATATGCTTACCTAAACACAAGGAAATGTTTTTAAAGGAAAAATTTCGAAATCGTTGAAACTTCCTCCTTATTAATGAAGATATCAGTTTATATTTCGACTTTATAAAGTACCCTGACATTATAATCAAAAATAGATGATATTTGACCAAAACCCATAATCATGGGTAGAGTGGACCGCTGCCAGTGTCTCTCTTTCCCAAACAAAAGGAAATGATATTAATTTGATTGACCGTTCTCAAATGCAAAATGATACCGAGAATGAAATCGGTCGCTCGCTTTTCCCATTCATTTACAATTGTAATAGACTATGAAAAACTACCCAAAGGCAGCTGTACTCGGCAATAAAGATTCAATAAACTTCAGCAGTAGTAACTACCACCCTTACCCCGAAATACTAGGTATCGACCCGAACGCAACCCAAAGAGATTTTTACAGCATCTGATTGATGTAATCAATCGAAACTTATTACAATTCGAAAGCCGTGAATGAATGGGAAAAGCGAGCGACCGATTTCATTCTCGGTATCATTTTGCATTTGAGAACGGTCAATCAAATTAATATCATTTCCTTTTGTTTGGGAAAGAGAGACACTGGCAGCGGTCCACTCTACCCATGATTATGGGGAGGGTCATGTTCAGTTTCATTTTGAACTGATCCGTTTCAAGGTCCTGTAATATGGGCCAGGGCTCGGTCTAGACTCTAGATCGAGCTTAGACCGTCCGTGCGTGGTGAAGAGCCACATCCTGCACGAGGTGACCCTGCTAGACCGGCATGTCATTGAAGAATCCGACTGTCTGGGTCAACTAAACACGGCGGATCTAGAGGAGCACATACCTCGAAAAACAAGCCGGGTTTATGAAGACCTGCACCCGTGATTGTACCTACTGATGAGGGTATTGGATTATAGTGTCACATCCAGGTTGCAGTGGCGCCGTGCCTGGAACAATGTCTAGCCATTAGACAAAATCCCCCCTCACTTTTATGATGACACACGATAACAGCACTAGGGTTCAAGCCCCTAACTACTCAGTGGCAGCTAGCTCCCTGTATGACGGGCCCTCCCTAAAACCCCCGGGAGGGGTGGGTCCTGATAGTTGCAGCAACCCTGTTACTACCCTTTTAGTTCGTAGGAAAACCCCTTTTCAGGTTAGCACCTTCAACTGTAGGACTCTCAACCCTGTATCACGTAAACAGGAGTTAGCTCACTCAGCCTTCCTGCATCATAATGATGTTATCTCCTTGCAAGAGCATCGCCAACACCACAAAGAATCCCTAAGAATTGAAAACATCTTATCATATCAGCTTATCACTGCTTCTGCTACGAAGAATTCAGTTAATGCTTCAGTTGGTGGTGTTGGGTTTCTTTTATCTCCTAGAATTCAGAAATCTCTCCTATCTGTAGAGAAAGTTAATAGCAGAATCATCTTGCTCCATGTAAACGGGAATCCTCGCCTCACAGTCCTCTCATGTTATGCTCCTACTAACTGCAGTGATATTGAAGATAAAACTGCATTCTACAACGCTCTAACCAGGATCATCTCTAAGGTGCCTCCTCACAACATGCTAGCAGTGTGCGGTGATTTCAACGCGAAGCTCAGTAATAGCTACGGTTTCACATACCATCAGTCAACCAACGACAACGGTGAACGACTACTGGATCTGGTAGACCAACACCAGCTGATAGTTGCTAACCGCTGTTTCCAGAAACCGGCTAATAAAATTTGGACCTATGAAGACCCCAAAAGAGCAAAGCATCAAATTGACTTTGTACTCTGGCGTAAGAAGTGGGCAAACAGTGTGAAGAACTGTCAAGCGTACAACATCATGCAAACTGTCGGTTCAGATCACCGGATTGTAACATGTTTTGTTCAAGCCAGCTACAGAGTCAACAAAACTCCAGCACGGGACCCTCTTAGGAGCATTGACTGGACTCCACTGATCCACGATTCCATCATGAAACACCAGTATGCAGTGGAAGTGAAAAACAGATACAGTGCACTCCTAGAGGAAGCAGAGCTCGAGTCCGACTACGACCTGCTCGTTAAAAGCGTTACAAGCACAGCACTTAAGGTGCTGCCAAAAAAGAGGAAGAGGAAACGGGAAAATCCTTACAACGATCCTAATATTGCACACCATCGCAATATCCTAAAGGATGCGTCCCTGAGTCACAGGATTTCCCCCTCTTTTTCGTCCAAGGAAAAGCTTGAAGACGCAAAGAAGCAACTGGACGAAGCCTATAATGCTGCTACTTCACAGCACATTCGACAACAGACTGACCGGCTGGAGAAAACTAACCCTGAGCACAGGCATCGCAGTTCCTGGCACATCATCAGGCAACTAACATCTTCCGACACTGTGCCATACTGCAAAGTGCCAGGAGGCACTACCGAAGAACGGCTCAACATCTGGTTCGAGCACTTCAAGTCCCTTCTAGGCACAGAACAGCCTCCGCCGGACCTCACCCTCCCCTTCTTCAACCAGCGAGTCTCTGACACCCTGCCCATCAGCTGTTCATCCTTCAGCATGTCAGAACTCGACACGGTTCTGAAGTCCGCCAAGTCCTCCAAGTCACCCGGTCTAGATAGCATCCCTCCCTCAGTCTGGAAGCTTCCCCAGCTACGTGAAAACCTCCTCGGATTCTGTAACAAAGCACTCATGGATGGTGTGATCCCTCAAGCCTGGAAAACGGCCTCTATCATTCCTATCCCCAAAAAAGGTGATCTTACTAATCCAGGAAACTACCGTGGCATTTCACTGGCACCGGTTGCAGCGAAAGTTTTTAACAAGCTCATCCTCAACCGGATCTACCCATTCATTGATCCCCTCTTGCGTCCAAACCAAAATGGTTTCCGTAGAGGAAGATCCACACTCCCACAGGTCCTTGCCCTACGTCGTATACTCGAGGAATGCAAGATCGGAAATCGCTCAGCCGCAATTGTGTTTGTCGATTTTTCGAAAGCGTTCGACAGCATTAACCGGGATGCCCTTTTCCACATCCTCTCCCTCTACGGTATTCCTGCTCCACTTGTAGATGCTATCAGGCTTCTATATGACTCATCGTTCTCTCGTGTCCAGACCATCGACGGCCTTACTGACTTTTTTAGGACACTTATTGGAGTTCTCCAAGGGGACACTCTAGCACCCTTTCTCTTCATCATCGTCCTTGACTATGTCCTCAGAAGCTGCATGGGTGAAGAATTCGGTCTTACCATCGTGCCTAGGAAAAGTCGAAGAGTGCCTGCGATCAAAATCACAGACCTTGACTTTGCTGATGATTTGGCCTTAATGTCAGACACCATAGAGCAAGTCCAACTTCTGCTGACAGACCTTGAAAATGCAGCCGCACAAGTTGGTCTTGCTATGAATGCTTCTAAGACCGAGTTCATGACCATCAACATCCCTGACACTGTCGACTTACATTCCATCTCAGGCCGCCAGATTAAACAGGTTGATGACTTTAAATACCTCGGCTCTTTCATTGCGGACAGTAGAAAGGATTTCAACACAAGGAAAGGAATGGCCTGGTCAGCCTGTATTAAACTGCAAAAAGTCTGGTCCTCTGGCATTTCCGAACAACTGAAAGTCAAGTTCTTTAGAGCCTGTGTAGAACCAGTATTGCTCTATGGATCAGAGACATGGACCATAAACAAGCAGCTTGAGAAGCGCCTCAACGGATGCTACACCCGTCTTTTAATGAAGGCCAAGAACATCTCGTGGAAGAAACATCCAACCCTCAATCAGATCTATGGCAACCTTCCATCTATTGCCTCAGTGGTTGCGTCGAGGCGTTCCAGATTTGCTGGGCATTGCATGAGAGCTTCTGACCAAGTTATCTCCACTATCCTCCCCTGGCGACTTGCCCAATCCGGCCGTGGAAGGAGACCACTCACCTTCCTGGACGTAGTAGCTCGTGACACTGGGCTCCAGTTAGACGACCTTCGAACTGTTATGTGCGATCGAGACGTGTGGAGGCAGACAGTGAATGGGATTTCGATTGAGGATCGCCCAAAGTAAAGTAAGTATGGGTTTTGGTCAAATCTAGCCTATAAATAAAAATAACTAGAAAAGGTTCGATAATCGATAGGCATGAAATATAATTCATTGAATTTTCACAATTCTCTCATATATTTTAAAGTTAAACTCAAGGAGACATTGATAGTCATTTCGTAGTAGTTAAATTCAATTAGTAATTTACAAACGTATATAACAAATACTATGAGTATATTTAAATCATAATTGTCGTAAGAATAAAAATTCGGACTACAATATAAACCAATCTGATGATATTAAAATTTCTAGAATCGTCTGCAATTATTTTCAAAACAAGGGATCAAGTAACAAGTAAGTGGACAACATAATTATATACAGTTTAAACATTTAGCATAATACTTTTAGGACCAAGCAGTGATCCCACAGTTGCACTAAATAATAATTTCCAATTCCAAAAACTTATTTTAAGTTATGCAAAGGTTGTTATATTAGTTAACTTAAAGCATAATTAGCGTTAAGTTAATCGTCTTACATGGTTAAGAAATGGAATAACTTAATAAAATGAAAACCAGCCTTGAATATTTTACAGTATCAGTATCACAAAACGTTTCATTAATATTACGTCGCAAAATATGAGAGATCAAATAAAGAACAGAAGAAATATTATGGCCTAGAATGAGCCGGTGAAACTAAAACTATATTTCATCAAATCAAGCGCTTGTTTGTTTAGAATCGTTTTATTTCCTGTCCTGAAAGTTATTATCAAAAATAATTTGTAGTTTAATCACTCATTTTCAAGGTTAATTTTGTAAAAAGAGCGTTCTCGAATGACGTCACTTTGGGAACACCTCCAAGGCTGATGTCCTCAGCACGGCATTAGTATCAAAACAATATAAATCTCAAGGGTAAATAGTTTATAATACATGGTTAAGAGGGCCGGGGGCCGGGGGGGGGGGGGGGGTCGGGGTCTTCATCAATTAACATTCAGAACATACCATGTTACGAACAACAGATTAGAATAGAAAATTTCCGTTGAATATAAAATCAAAATAATTTGAGTAGTCATCATCGTTTAGTCACGAAAAGTATAAAAATAAAAATGTTACTTATCTATAAATATAATACAATGTCAATATAAATCCACACTCCAGTAAGTTTTAGTTTATACCGCCATTAAGTAATTAACAATAATCTTGGTCATCAGTACGAGGTAATAAGTTAGTCATTAGTGGTCTTGCCGGTGTCAATAGTGGTGACTGGTGGCGTGGTAGTTCTTAAAATTGATCAGTTTCTATACACCAAGGCTGGATCAGTGACCTAAACGCTATCCTTTCTTGCAGTTATTCATCGGCAGAATATTTAGAATCCTCGCGGTTTCTTGACGTTGAAAAATTATTTTCCAAGTTTGATGCATGCACATTAGTTGACCCAATAACGCTTCTAGCTAATGCATAAGTGTAAAGAAATGAGAATGAAGCTGAGATTCGCACATTTGTGAGACTTTCGCAGACGGGTCAAACGTAGGATTCTTGTTCCACGACACTCTCATCATCGTTTGAGCTCGTCCCTGACTCCGTACCGATTGACCCTGGGGTTTATAATTGGGGTTTATAATTTAGGTAAAAATATTCTCATGGCAAAATACGAAGAAGTGAGGCCACTTGCCATTTAACATCAAGTTGAGATAAGAAAAAATAAAATACAAAAATTTTAATTTCATTATATATATACATACAGATATAAGTCACACAATCAAACGATACAAACACAAAAACAAACACAATGAAAATTTTCAGATTCTTAAAAATTAATAACATATCATCATCACTTGATATTGGGATCTGGATACCCCATGAGTTAATTGTGTATGTTTAATAAAAGAGAATTGTAGGAAATTAATGTGAACTATACATCTTGACGACATACCAAGTGACCGAAGTAGTGAACACTGGAAAAGAAATTGAAAAAATTTCATCAGGTGCTTCTATCAAAAAAGGCACCTAAGCAATAATATACAGGGTGGGCCAAAAGTCAGTGGGCATACGTTGGCATTATTAATAGCTCCACCATGTTTTATATTTGAGAGCTGTTGCTTTGCAGATGGCATACTGTACTTACTGGTTCGAGGATTCCGTCGTCAAAATTTGAAAATTCGAATATTTTAGACCACGCCCATTCAATATTAAAACACCTATATGATACTGTTTTCTCTGAACATGCTGAACGCCTAATTTTTTTCAGAGACGGTAGAGTATTTAATGTTGCATATGATCTGAAAAGATGAGGCAAAACAGATTAGAAATGACGAAGTTATCAAGCATTTTCTGTATCTCGTTAACAAAATTGATTGGGTGATTATGTGACACCGTGACACGACACCTTAATTGGGCACCCTTAACAATTCCCATAATGTTTAACGGGGTGGTTAACGGGTTCACCTAATCACGTGATTAGGTAAACCAATCACCTGATCACACGTAATGAATAAACTCGTTATGCTTCATATCTCGGTCATCTGAGAAGCTACAGTTCTAATTAGGGCCTGTCGTGATATCATGGATCGCTTAGGTTCCACCAGGATCTGGTAGTCCTCATAATTCTGCGGCCTCTATGTGTCGTCATCTTGCACAACTCCGAAAAACCGTTGTGAGTTTGGCATGTGAAAATTTGCAGCCCTCCAGACATCGATTGGGTTAACGAGTTGTCGTACGTCACCTCAAGATCGGGTGACAGGGGGCTGAACAGGCCAGAACCCAATTGATTGGGTCTGAGGTCACGTGATTATGAGCCTGAGGTCACGTGACTATGACGTCACCAGAGCTCGTTCTCCGTTTCCCGCTCTTTGGACCAGGTGAGCTTGCATGCTTGTGAAAGTGGGTGTAAGTACAGCTGTACTGTAGTTACATCCAATTACCCCTAATAGAATGAAGATTTATTTTCTGACAGAAAGCTATATAGAAATTTACCAAAATATCGACTTAGTTCAAAATTTATTTTGATGACCACTCCTGACCTAAAATTGCACGAGAAATCGATTAAACTTGGTTTCAGAACTCAACAATGCTCCCTTATGCCTTAAAATCCATTTTTATCGATACAATAAACATTTTGATCCTGTGGATTAATTAGTAACAGGTAACAAATGCACAAAAAAAACCATCGCACTTACATTGCATTCTTAACGGGTCGATTTCGAGTGACCAATAATCGTCGTGATGATATTTATACGTCATGCGTTCCTGATCATCATCAGCAATCAAGAGACAGGAGCGGCGATTGCTTTAAATCAACGGTTTACGTTATTTTTGTGAATTCGACCCCTGTTTTAACGGTTATCACACTTTGTCATTGAATGTATTGAGGATAGCTTTACAAATAAGAGGACCAGTAAATAGAATTGTCACAAATGTTTCTCTCATTCACTTTCGATAAGACACAATGAAAATTCTTACTTAACCATAAGATTCGGAATTTTTCAACCTTTGAAGAATATCGGAATTTTATAAAATGTAAGGAATATAAGGAATATAATTTCTTGCGGGAATAATTCCTGAAATATTGTCGACAGGTTCAAGTCTACTAGCAGGAACCCGTCTAACCCATTTTGACAGGTCACGGGACCACCACGAATTGAATTATAAAGATCTATCTAAATTCCACGAAGACTACGGACCAAGTTTAAATACTTCATTATAGTTGGATTCGGGAAGCAGTTCAATTGTGCTTTGCACGGAACAACTTATATCACGAGACCGCCATTTCTGTTGAACCGAGAGATTGCAAATCAAACTAGTTTCAATTTCAGATCACCTTTTATGTGTTCATTTGTGGTGGACTGGTCAGTATACAAACGTGGCACGTGCGGGCATATTTCTCAGTTTGAGTTACGAATTGCTTCATGCCTGAGTTAAGTAATTCTTTGTGGTCGACTTGCTTTCGATCAAAACTTCATTAAATGAAATCGCTTTAGGGACATGTGTCAAAACTTCATTACTACCAACGCGCACCAATTAGACACCACCCTTGCAGTTGCTCTATGTAGTCGAGTTTTTCTCAGTCAGATTTGGTTGACTGTTATTTCTTTTTGAGGTCTCGACAAACAGCTGATCATACGGTAGGCATATGCGCGCTATATCTACGCCTTTGGCAAGATCATAGGACATAGAAGTTCAAGGAAATTTAACAACCATAACTTTAAACTTACTTGCTGGACAACAAACGCAGCCACGTCGTAATTCTCCCAATAACTGCTGTGTAGAAGAGCTGGCAGGATGAGAGAAGGAAAAGAGCGCAGAGCTTCAGGATAGCTTTACAAATAAGAGGACCAGTAAATAAAATTGTCACAAGTGTTTCTCTCATTCACTTTCGATAAGACACAATGAAAATTCTTACTTAACCATAAGATTCGGAATTTTTCAACCGTTGAAGAATATCGGGCATTTTTCAGAATTTGGCCGCCAAATTTTTTTAAAGGCCTAACTCAAAATTCTAATACAAAACTTAAGGTCATGAGGCGATTCTACGTCGATTCTGAAAATTGAAAAAATATTGAAACCCTATTGAGTTCTATTGTTTTGAGCGAAATCAGTTTTGCAAATATCGCGAACTGATATATGGGCGATTTTGTTCATTTTTTGCAACTATTTGAACACAGAATCCACAGTTAGGTAGATATTGAGCTGATAATCATAGAGAATGTGTAGTATAAGCTTACCTTCCATATAAAGTTGGTTTCATTCAAAAATATTGATATTGGACCAATTTATGGGCCAAAATCGATCAAATTTGGTGCGTATGCCCAAATATGGTCATATGGTTTTTGGCTCATAACTCAGTCATTTTTTGTCCAATCTTGATGAAAATTCATATACGAGTTCAGGGGACCACTAGCTACAAAAAAAGGGTTTTGGGCATGTTCAGGGTATTTGGCTAAATTGGGCCTGATTTGGACGAAATATGGGCGTGGCTGCCCCGCGGGCACCGTTTGGCGGTTGGGGTCCGGGACCCCTCAAAAGTTCGGTTGACACCGGTCCTAGTTTGTTGGTTAACTGCTATCCCCCCCCCCCTTAAGGCATAAGGAAGCATTGTTGAGTTCTGAAACCAAGTTTATTAATCGATTTCTCGTGCAATTTTAGGTTAAGAGTGATCATCAAAATACATTTTGAACAAAGTCGATATTTTGGTAAATTTCTAGCTTTCTGTCAGAAAATAAATCTTCATTCTATTAGGGGTAATTGGATGTAACTACAGTACAGCTGTACTTAACCCACTTTCACAAGCATGCAAGCTCACCTGCTCCAAAGAGCGGGAAACGGAGAACGAGCTCAGGTGACGTCATAGTCACGTGACCTCAGGCTCATAATCACGTGACCTCAGACCCAATCAATTGGGTTCTGGCCTGTTCAGCCCCCTGTCACCCGATCTTGAGGTGACGTACGACAACTCGTTAACCCAATCGATGTCTGGAGGGCTGCAAATTTTCACATGCCAAACTCACAACGGTTTTTCGGAGTTGTGCGAGATGACGACACATAGAGGCCGCAGAATTATGAGGACTACCAGATCCTGGTGGAACCTAAGCGATCCATGATATCACGACAGGCCCTAAGTTCCAATTTTTTAACGACAAACGTAATTCGAATGGCCAAACAAAATTCAATAAAATTTAGTTCGATCCGACTATCCAAACTATCAAATAAATGCAAAAATAAACCTTCATTTGAAAAAAATTATCTCGAATATTTTTCGATTTGACAAATTCCTCGAACCAGTGGTGGTAGTAAGTCATACCAGAAAGAATTATTTCAATTTGGCAATCAGTGACTGAGCTATTAAGGCCAACGTATGCCCACTGACTTTTGGCCCACCCTGTACATTCAAAGCAGTAGCGTATAAACATTGACCGGAATTACCTCCAAATTTGCGGTAGGGTGCAAGTCGAGGATTGGTCAGTTTTTCTAGACTCTCTACAAGATGTGCGAGGTCGTGCCCCTCCTTAGCAGGGCCCGGAGAGGGGGTTTCGTGCAGAGAGGTACAGTGCTGCAGAGAACTATAGGACTGGGACGAAGACGTGGACTGAGGGGTGAGGGGTTTAGAGTATAATTATATAAAAGTATAAACAATTACCTTTACATATGTTTGAAGGTGAGTGAAACAGTCATAAATGGATACACATTTGAACACAAAGGACAAAAGAACCTTAAATAAGAATACCTGTTCAGGGTATGAATGTTGCACACACACAGCTGCTTTGGTCGATTTGTGTTTAACCAAAACTCGTTTCGCCACAGGGTGCTCTTTTATCTGAAGAAACATACTAATTACAAAAAATCTATTAAATTTATTGGGAATTATGTAATGTAACGTGATGGAAATATTTTAAACGGGCATATCCTGTCCAAACCCAGGATGCACTACATGAAGAATTCGTTGTAACTTTGTTTTAAAAGCATTAATAGCCTCTTAAAAACTGAATGATTCTACAATTGCATAAGGGATGTTAAAAATTAAACCCCAATTATAGAGTGACCCGACAAAAACGAAATGAGAGAAAAATTAAAAACCTAAACTAATTGTACCTTCTGAATATCATCCTTATCATCAGCACTGAGAGTCCTGTGCTCTCTGTAACCTGCCCCAGGACTCCCCCTAGCCAGGAGTACTTCACTTCTTTCTTGTTCAATAAAACTCTTAACTCTGCCCTCAACTCTGCTGCCAGAGGAGAAACTTCCCGTCTTCTTGATTTCTGTCGGTGTCGGCTCTTCCTCGACACTTCTCGTTGGTCGCTGTTTTCTCGAACTTTCTCCTCCACTTTTCTCTCTGATGCTTCGTGTGTTCCGAGTGAAGACGTTGTCTTTCTTGTACTGAGGTTAAGGTGAATCTGTTTAAATTCAGTATTAAGTAGAAATTCGTTAATAAAGGAAGTGGTAGCCCAAAAAACTGACGATTTTCAGTAATTTTTAAATTTGAAACAATTCAATTTTGGATAATTTGTACAGTACCTCTTCTTCAGACGAGATATCAGAAACAGAAGAGCACTTAAGTTCCTTATCTTCTTTCTTCGTCTTCCTTGATCTTCTCAAACCAGTTCCTTTCTTTCTTACCACCTCCGGACAGCCTCCTCCGCCACTCACGTCCGAAGAAGATTTGCTGCTCCTTCCTTTCTTGGAAGAGAACCGGAAGAAAGTTTTAGATTCGGTGGGAGTGTGGTCTGTGTCAGGTAAATCACATTGTTCTGGAGACACTGACAACGGACTCTGAAAGAAAATGTTTTTGCTGTGAAAACGGGAATGTTACATGAATGATTTGATATTTAGAATTAAAATTGCTAACCTATCCTGTAGCCTAAGCTATGATACATTATACATTATACATGCACTTTAACGAGCGTAAGAACTTTCTCAAATTTCGAAATATTAAATAGTTGTATTTACTTTTAGTACCTGAAGTGCTTGAGAGTGGATAGTAAGTATGCGTGGTTGCTCCATGAGAACAGTTTGAGGCACCACAACAGGAGCCAAAACAGGACTCGGAGCCGAAACAGGACTCGGAGCCAAAACAGGACTCGGCGTCCGTTTGCCCAACGAAAGGAGAGGAGGAGATCCGATCTCCACGAACATGGAGCTGCTTGTGCTGTGCTCGTTGATACTGCTCCGAAGGAGGGTTCTAAGCCACAAGTTGCTCTTTTCTCCTTCATCTTCACTACTGTCCGCATCTTGGTTCGCTTCGTTACTCAACCTGCTTCTTCTTGATGAAACCTGTACACAAAATTGTCGTCAGAAAAATTAATGGAAAAATTCTTAAGGTTCAGTATTTAAAAAAAAGATGTTGCATGATCATGATTATTAAGAATGTTAAAGAATATAATGTCTTTAAAAACTAACCTCTTCGTCCTTGACAGCACTCTTAGAGAGGACCGTAGGTATAGGTCCGAACAGTTCGAACACTCTCTCCAAAAGGAAAGCTACCACCACACTAGGTGTTTGCGTTCTGTTCTGATCTGCGTGAATACTCAGAGCGTTGGCATCCTCCGGCCACGTGACCAAACTTGGTCCGATACATGTGGACAGATTGTCAGCAGTCATCAGGTTAACTGCATTGTTATCTACAATACGCTTCAGAACGTGGAAGGTGTACCGTATCACGGTCATGTTCTGGTCAGGAATTTTTGCCAGAATGGACATTATGCCACCGGCGTCACTTCCATCAGTTCTCCATTTCTCAAATTCAGGGAACAGTACTTTTGGGAACAGGCCATCAGGAATGGACCTGAAGTAGTTCTTGAGGAGAGAGGAAGCTACATTAGGAAGATAGCATTTAGCTTGCATCTGTTCAGCGACCCAGTCTATCGTTTCGCCATTGTCTAACTTTGCTTCTATTTGCCTCTGGACGGCCCTGGACCCCGGCTTTCTGAATATTCCTTCACTAACAAAACAGTCAGTATAAATATAAATTAGGACATCGAGAAGAGGAGTGGGTATTTCCTGTGATCCGGTGTTGATACTAAAAAATTTGCTAATTGTTAGTCCAAACATCTTGTTGGAGGAAGCCTCTGTGGCTACTTGCATGTCTGACATCGTAGACAGCCTAGAATACGGGGTTGGGGCAGCGCCGCGCCCACCGCGCCGAAAAAACTGAGTCAGAGTACTGGCCCGCTGTCGAGACGGGGGTACCGAAACATTGGAGATGATGTTGTGACGCAATATGAATATAGGCTCCATAGTCTGATCAGAAAACATAGTCTTAGTGTCGTTTTGAATAATCAGTGGCATCTCCATCAGGAACAACTGTTCCTCAAACATGATTTTAGTGTCTTGAAGAATGATAAATGTAAGAGTGTACGCTGAGACGTTGTCTATCATTTGACAAGTTGACACTGCGTTCTTGATGACCTCCTCGACAGTTTGAGTTATATTAATCTGCAGGTCCTGACAAGACATCCCCATCCAAATACTGTCAATTGGCAAGGACAACCTGCTGTCACTGCCCTTAAAATACACCTTGATAGTCCCCGAGGTAACGGGGATCTTATCTCGAGAATGTTTAATATACCTCTGAATCAAGGTAAACCAGTGGCGTCTAACGTGGCTGTTAGGAAATTGGAAGATAACCCTGTGAAACTGGAGTAACTCATCGTCTTCCCAACCCTCAGTACCGAGCCAGCCTCCGATACAGGTGTTCTCTTGCTTCTCCACCTGACCGAATCCTATCTCTTCCTTGTATTCTGATACCCACATGTTGCGGAGTTTTATGATTCGAGATATCTTCATGGAGCGGGGTCGGACTTTGGAGAAGATGAGGCACTGATTGAAGAGGAGGAGGGTGTAGGTGTGAAACTGCACTTCGTTATCTCCTCTTACTTTCACCTGCAGGGGATCAGTTAGTTTGTTTGTTTTACAAGTGAAAAATTATGTTTTTAGGTATTTGTACCCAGAAGTCAGGATCGCCGAAATTAAATATCAGCAACTCGATGATTTGGGTAATTGAATAGAGTAAAAAGTGACAGGGAGCACATACCTTATCTTCCATAGTAACATAGTTGTCACACGCAGAGTTGCTCTCAGAAGTGGGACGACTTGGAGAAACCATCCCCACCATCACCTGGAATTGTAAAATCAGGTGGTCAAAAGCTCAAAAATAGACGACGATAGTCATAAAAAAGAAAAAAACATTTTCAAAAGATTTTCAATTCGTTTTATCTCCTTGTTTCACCCTTTCAAAAATTCCAGGTCACTGTACATAACTGCAGTATATAATACATATAATATACTTATTATTGTTATTAAATAATTCCAGAGCCCAAAAAAGTCTACAGTACCTGAGTTTCCTCATCCTTTCTCAAGGCGTTCAAAATATCAGGCGCAATGGACTCTTCCTTAAACTTCCTCCCACCAATCTCAACCTGATCATAATTTGAGTTCTTGTCCGACGACTCCGACTTCATCAACTTGCTGGGAGTTTTCTTGTACGATCTTTTCTTCCAACTCTTCGACGAAGCAGGTTCCTCGTGGATGTGCTTGATGAAGGCAGTGAACTCTGGAGCCATCTGGTCCCCTAGTAGGGACTCTATTTTCTTGTAGTCGTCAACTTTTTTCTTGTTCACGATCTCGTCGTAGTTCGTTGGAATCATATTTTCCACTTTTTTCTTACACTGCATAAAGTCGGAAAAGTCAGGGTGACCGAAACTATGTGCAGAATTCACCGTTCGTTCAAGGTATGTGTCGAAGAATTCCTTGTAGCACTTTAGACGTTCGATCTGCGGTTATCATTAAGGTGAATCATTGATTATATATACTGTAAAACAAATATCCGTTTGTTTCCCTTATTTTTGAATCATTTCTAAGTCCAAGGGGAGGGCTTGTATTCTATTTATTATTTCGCAATATGAAAACCGAAATTCTTCCACATGATATTGCATTAGCTTTTTAAATAATTAGCTCAATTAACTACTTACAGGAAGCAAGATAAGATCTTTGAGAGAGATATTATCCATTCCCTGCTTTAAAGAGACGAGGGCAGCAAAATCAGAACTCATCATCTTCTCGTCGTACGTTCTGAGAGAGTTGAAATAAGGCTCAATGTTTGGGTTCTGAACAGAAATGTTTGAAGAAATTGTAGAAGTACGTGCAGGTAAATTGTACTTGTTCTTCATTCTCTGATACATCATACCTTCACGTCAGCTAAATTAAATCAACCTTCTTGTAAATTATATGGAATTGATTTCAATACATGACCCAAAATGCCGTATTATTATGAATCAACTTTATCATGCCATATTAAAAGTTTAAAAGTTTAAAAGTGGTATAAACCCTAGTGCGGACTCCAAGTTTTTGGAGAAGTAATCGTACAGATCCCACAAGTCCGGTTTGCCAAGAAAGAGGTCCCCTGTAATGCATTACCTTGTTCTTAGTTAGCTAGACTTCTTTTTAAACAAAGCACATAATATTTGTTATCTTAAATAAAAATAAAACCATCGTGCAATTTGCGAACAGAAATTTGTTTTGAGTATCTCATTAACTCATTAACATCTCATTATAATTAATTAACTCACCTATTTGAGAAGATTCCTCATCCCAATCTGTTAATCGCTCAGCTAACTAATGGAAAAGTAAAACTTGAGTACAACTAAAGAACGATCCAAGAAGATGCTGCTACCATTACAACAAATTAAAGATGTCAGAAAAAAAGAATACGAAAAAAACTATACTATACCTCAGTGTAAAGAACCACGCTAATTTCCATCATATCTTTTATTTTGGTGAGGAGCATTTTCTCGACTTCTTCCACCGATATGACACATGTCCTGAGGAAACGTAATTATATATCATACGAAACTGTTTCTAAATTAATAACTGGCGATTAAATATTGCGTTACCAGCTAGATATTCTAGTAAAAGCATTTAGAGCTTTTTCTGTACATTTTGCACGTTCTGCACATTCTGTACATTCTGCAGTCTGCAGTCTGCACGTTCTAAAGGTCTGATGTAGCGGTACTCAGTATATCGCTGTACAATGTATCGCAACAAATTGATACCTTAGTAGCCATAATAAAGACCGCACAATTTATAATTAGAGATAACAATCATAACATACAGTAACTGGAAACACAACATGCATACTATACACTACTACACGATTATGCTGCTAAAATCCATGCAATAAGCCCCATTAGATTCGATATACAGTTAAAACATCTAAACTTAACTAGATAAAAGTATAAACTGTAATACACAAACATAATAACAATTTCTGGTAGTGTGCTTATTATGATCAACAACAAAATCGCAAGTTATAATCCATCCAAAACGAAAGAATGTTAGAGAGTGTTAATATGAGCAACAGCAAGACAATGCTGCGGTGTAAAACAGTTCACTACAACTAGTAGTGACTACAGTCTAGTACTAGTAGTTATTATGGATCTGTAGAATAAATTGCAAGGCAGCTTTAAAAGAGGCCATCACTAGAAAATGGTGACGTCATCACTAGAAAATGGTGACGTCATCACTAGAAAATGGTGACGTCATCACCGGAACATGCTTCACCACACCTATGTTTAGAGCTCGTCTCCTGTTGATACCTTTGACCGTGTTCACTATGCGAGTTATTTTGTGAACTTTTAAGATTGATATTATTAGGCCTTAGCCTTAAATTCATAAACAGGCTAAACTTTTTTAAAACTTCAAGGAGGTTAATTTTAAAAGATATATTTGTCATTCATTTTGAAGATTTTTCTAAACATTACGATATAACATGACATTTTTCAGAAGTCCAAAACATCGCATAAATATAATGACAGGATCGATAGCAGTATCTTTACATTGCAAAAAAATATTCAAGACAAATAATGCATGAAAAATGATAGGAGTTTTAAGAATGCATACAATTTTTACCAACTTGCGGAGGAACGGGTCTTTTAACCCGACCTCGTTTTTAACGGCGGGAAAAAGTTTTAGGGGTTGGTTAAAAGTCAGGGTTATGCTGTTTTAGGTGAGGGTTGGGTTTGGGAATAGAGGGGGAGGGGTAAAAGAGAAGTTGAGGAGGGGGATTGTGAACCCTTAGTAGGAACAAGGCATTAATACAAGACATTTCATACATGATTTTATGCATATGCTATAAACAGTTCCTGATTTTGATATTTTACACAAAATTAAATGTCTACCACTGACCCTCAAGCATCCTATGCAATAATATCACACCCCTCCTGATATAAAAAAGACAAAATAAACTATGTTGTTCAATGAGTTCGGTCTTTCTGAAAAATACGAAAGCAAGATCTGTCGGAAGATGTAAGCACGCTGTATTTGATGCAAGGCGATGATAATCATAACTCCAAAACTATGGGACCTACTTTAGATGAAGGATGTAGAGGTCCGATAAGTAGCGTAACTGCTCGTGGTACTTCCTTTCTGTGGCTTTTAGTTCCGACACACATTGGTACAAACTCTGGTCATTTCCTGGCAAAATATGGGGTTTAGTTGAGTGTTAACTTCAAGAAAAAAGCTGTTTCAGAAAAAATAATATTGTTGACTATCATAATTATATCATCTCAAATTCTTGTGGTGGAATAAAATGTGTATAAAATAGCCGTACCTTGCGCAGCAGATAAGTCATCCATAACCTCACCTATTTCACCTTCCCATGCCCCTAACAACAATGTATTATTATTATTAAGCTGTTTTAAAATAATCAGCATTTTAAAGATCGAGGTAAATAATGAACAAGTAATAACAATTCCAGAAGTGTCTGAATTGGAATAAATTGAATAACAACACCCAGAGACCCAGGTGTGACTGATGCAAATTGACAATAATCATCAACAAATAAAATTTCTCGTGTCCTGAAAGACTTACATTCATAAACTCATATATATAGATATATTATTGACAGGATCGAGCTACAAGATTACATACATTTGTAAAAAACAAGGGCTGTCTCACATTGAGTTTCATCATCAACAATGACGTAAATATATTATCGTTTTAGTTAAAATCTGCAAAATTTGCGCAATAGAATTATTTACGGGGATTTATATATATCATTTCAAAGAAAAAAATCGTTCAAACTGTGTCTGTGGCTTTATAAATGTTGTGAAAAACACCATGCAATTCAAAACTAATCATTTTCATTTGCGAATACGAATCTTTGATTATCCAGGTTAAAAGATTGTGTAAAAACATAACGAAACCCATAAAAATTTAAAGCAAATCCCGAAAGACTTATCCTTCATAACTCAATTATACACTTTGGATAACAAATCCCTTAAAAATGCATGTAATGCATAATCTTATAAAATGTTAACAAACAATGAATGGGTAAAAATCTTTCAATAAACATGATACATACGGTAGCATTTTAATTTTAAAACTAGTTATGATATTAGAATTATCGGAATATATATAGATTTCATTTCGTCCTGAGCATTATACATTCTTTATACATAATATACTTTAGCGAGAATATTTCCATTCCAGAATAATTCAGTGTTTAAAGCTTTAACTAGTTGGTTTTCTATTCCCTACTCCTACTTTAATACTTAAACCAAAGTTCCAAAGTTTTCACTCGGTCCGGAGCCTGTAGTCGAAGTCTCTGATGCGTCATCAAATGTGAGGATTACTGGAGATTTCAGGCAGGTCGGCGAATCTGGCTCAACAGCTGGCGCACGTGCACTAACCTTCAAATCTAACGGTGCAAGATCTAGAAGTAGAGGTTTATGGTCATGTTCCTTGATACTGCTCCTGACCATGAGCCAGACACTGCTGGTGTCCTCATCACTGCTCTCAACCTCGTCCACCCTGTTCGCACTTACTCTGCTCTTCACCTCGTCATCTATCACCTTCCTTCTCTCCAGATCGCGCGGCTCACTTCCCAACAGTTCCCGCACGTGCTTCAACAGAAACTCCGTCACGTAGCACGGTGTCGCGCGACGGTATTGATCCACCAAGATACTTAGAGCGTTAGCATCGTCCGGCCAGGTTATTAGACTGGGCCCTATACAGGTTGAGAGAACCTTGTCTCCCATCAGGTTAACAGTACTGAAGGCAGCTATACGTTTCAAAGTGTGCAAAGTGTATCGTAGCAGCGTACGGTTAGCATCGGGGATGCCAGAGAGGATTATATTCATCTCACTTACGCTTTTCTCGACGTTTTTGTCCTCATCAGACTTCTTCCGCCAGGATTCTAGCTCAGGGAATAGATTGCTGGGCACGAGGCCTCCTGGAAGTGACCTCAGGTAGTATTTGAAGAGCGAAGAAGCCACATTTGGGAGAAAGAACCTGTCTTGCTGCTTTTCTTCAGCCGACCAATCTATCCGTTCTCCTGATTCTAGACGGTTTTCAAAAGCTCTTTGGACGGCAAGGGAACCAGGAATTCTGAAAATCCCCTCGCAGTTGTAGCAATGGTTAAAGAGATACACAAATAGATCAAGAAGAGTTGGTGGTATCTTATCAGGGTTCTCCCCCATGAACTCCGAGAGAGACACACCGAACACTTTGTTACCAGGCTTTACTGTTGGTGTGAGGTGCTGGGAAGGAGGTGTTGGTCGCAGGTTGCAGACAGAGTTAGATCTCCCTCTGAAGAAGGTGACCACAGTGTTTAGTTTGGTGGTAGGGAGAGGACTGCTGGAGCTACCGCTGGAGCACATACTAGACCCGTTCTCTTGCAGCACGTAAATAGTTTTCATGTTTTTGGGGTCCGGTAACATCCTCTTGACCCCGCTCTGATCACGAGTGGCATCTCCATCCAGATTAGCTGCTCTTCTATGGCTATTTTAGTGTCTTGAAGAACAATGAAAGAAAGTGTGTAGGAATTATCCTTCATCTGACATTTCTTAACAGCATCTTCAATAACATTATCCACTGTTTGTGTGGGATCTATTTGGATCTCCTGACAGGACATGCCTTGCCAGAGGTTGTCACCAGGAACTGATAGCTGACTGTCACTCTTCTTGAAGTAGACCTTGATCAGACCTGCTCGTAGAACCTCTTTCTCCCTGGCTGCCTGAATGTGTCGCTGTATCGTCGTATACCAGTGCATTCTCGCATCTTTGTTAGAGAAACTAAAAATAACTCTATGTAACAGCTCCGGATCCAGCTCGGAGCCCAGCCATGACCCGAGACAAGCATTTTCCTCTTTCTCAACGTGACCGAATCCTACCACCGAATCTTTGTAATCGGACAACCACAGCTGCTTTAACTTGATAATCCGTGATATTTTCATAGTCCTATTTCGTGTTTTGGAGAAAACGAGACACTGTTTGAAGAGGAGGAGGTTGTATGTGTGAACCTCATCTTCCCATCTTACTTTAACTTTAGAGACGCTCCCAACAAAGTTCTCACTTGGGGGTGCTGTTTTCTTGGCGTTCCTTCGTGGAGATGGCATCCCACTCATCGCGTCCTTCTCTTCCTGTTTCTTCATCGCGTTGAGAATGTCAGGAGTGAGATCTGTTGTCCCATACTTCTTACCTCCGATATCATATCTCTCATCCTTCAGAGGTTCCTTCCGGTTAAATGATTTCCTGAAGGCACGCTTCTTCCATGGTATTGCTGCTGCCGGTTCCTCGTGCAGGAGTTTCATATAAGATGTGAATTCGTTAGCTAGAGACCCCAGCGAAGCTTCGATTTTCTGATATTGTTCGTGCTGGTTTCTGGATACAATAGCATCAATATCAGGAGGAAGGAGGTTTTCTACTTGCTTCTTACATTCCATTATATTGGAGAAATCAGGATGACTGAAAATGAAATCTGCTCCAACGGTTTTCTCGAGAAAAACCTCAAAAAATTCCTTGTATTTCTTCATTCGATGAACCTGTTCAAAATACGTGTCATCGTGGGGTAAGACAAAAAATTCCCCCCGTTTCAGTTTTTTGCATGAAAATTTCAAAATACTATTGCGTAACCAGGATAAATATAAACGGTATAAATTACAATGAAGAACTCGCCGGTAACATGATGAGATCTTTAAGAGGAGGGTTAGTGAACCCCTGCTTGAGGGAAACTAACGCCGCGAAATCATGACTCATCATCTTCTCATCGTATCTCCTGCAGGAAATAGTGTTTAAGATTGCTTTAAGTTCTGCTGTTTCCAGCGAGTAATAGGAGATTAAAACATGGTCCTTAACCTTTCACACTTTAAACGCGCACTGTGCATAGATAAAAACAGCGGCAATTAACACGTGTGATAAGATGATAGTGTGAAAGTGAAAGTGAAAGTGAAAGTAAAACAAAGTATCAAGAAACCTTTGTTTTTATATCTCGTTTATAAAAGACATTGCTAGACGGCACGTTATCGTTTTGCATCAAATGAAAATTAATCAGAGGCAGGACAACGCCCCACGAGCTGCAGTAAATTAAATCATTGCATTTGTTTGCTTTAATTATATAATATTAAATTACCAATTATATATTAAATTATTGATTATATATAAGAGCCTGCACTGGTGCCTCACACTGCTAACTCACTAAATAGAGAAATGAGAATCAAGTCAGACAGTCTATGTTTGGGATCGCACAGATTTGTAAGTCAAGAATCTTTGACCATCTGTCCGTAAGTTAATTGACAAGGTTCTAAGGCTTTTCGTGAATTATTAGCCTAGGAGTATGGCCCATCAATTACAACAGAAGGAAGAATAGGACGATTTGTACATCTTACACACGATTAGCCATATGGCTATCATCCGGACCCATTGACAACTACATCTGTCTGTTATTAGTTGTTGGTTTAATTAGCTATGTGATTCGAATCCTGAAATTCTTGAATAAGCTAGCTCCAAAACTTTCAGCATTAGTTGGGATACGGAAGACTATAATATTCATTTTGGGAACTCTAGCATAAGACAATTTTTTTGACGAGAACAAAAATCAGCTTATGTATAAACACTATTCATTATATATACAAAATTTATTATATACTATTATTATAGCTATCATAAATTTTAACAACAGTTGAATCTTTTAAAAGTAAATGTTACCTCATAGCGGAGTCAATGTTGCGACAGAAGTAACCGTATAGGTCCCAAAAATCAGGGTATTTAAGGAACACATCACCTGCACATAGTTTGGTTAATGCTCCCCAGAAAAGAGAAAATTACGAACAAATTATGTACCACAAAAAACAAAGGATTAAGAAATCTGAGAACACAAGCTGCAAAGCTTCAGCGATCTTTATTGACATCGAACAATGCACTTGATATGATACAAAAGATCAATTTTTCTCAAATATTCTTACTTATCAGGGAGCTATCTTCATCCCATGCTTTTAGCCGTTCTTTGAGCTGCAAAAGATTTCAGAATAAGAAATAAAGAATACAGGTGAGTTTCTCAGAAACCGACTTAGTTTCTGCATGCAGTTTGAACGTGAAATAGCTGGGAAACATGGCTCGAGCGTGAGAATGTGCCACATTACACATTATAAAACAATCAGCTACGAGATAAAAACGGTTGCATTCGTTAATCGATATAATATTCAGTAATCGACCGGCGCAGCCCAGATCGGATTTTTGATCCCGGCGCCACCAAATTTCCCAATTTGGCTGAAATTATTAGAACACACGATGGTGTTCAAATGATCCGAATAATTCATTCACTATCATTTCAAAATGTGCTAAATTTAATTAATTTTAAATATCCCAGTCGAAAATTATGGTCAATCAATTGATTCAAAAATTCGATGAATTTCACTCTAAACACCGACCGGTCCCATCTCCTGCCAAATTTCAGCCCGGTCATTTACTGGTTAACATGAAGTAACATAGACATACTGCGAAACCTTGCTTGAGAGACCTTTACTGACTTCACATAAATCCTTGATCTTTGTAAGCAGCATCTGCTCCATTTCCTCGGTCGTTACAACGCATATTCTGAAAGAAGGTTTCATTGAAAATTCGGATAATGCAATAAATTAAAATGGGCTAAATTTGAAGCGCCTGCTGGCTATTTCACCGCTGTGCCCCCATCTCCTTTTGAGAGAAAAAAAGGCGAAACTGCAAAACATGTAAATTGTAAAATCATTCAATAAAAAATTTCAAATCGGCGATGATCCCCAATCATGATGCTTCTGTAGACCTAATTAAATGGGATATACCGCTAAGTAAGGGTCTAAATCTATGCTTCAAAGGCAAAAAAGGACGTTAGAATCATATTCTCTACAGGGAAAGTTCCGACAGCCAACTCAGGTCTCAGACCTATTCATATTCCAAACAAATCGAAACTTATACCCCGGAAATAAATGGGCCCAAAACTGAGCTGTTCCCGTGTTCCGCTTCAAATTCCATCCAGTACAATTTACATTACAACAATGTACATTACAATTTACATTACGATAATCCTTATAGTACGATTTACATTACAGTACAATTTACATTACGATAATCCTTATGGCGTTATGCAGTCACTGATGCAGTTATAGCGAGAATACATATTACATGTTACATGGCGAGATCTCCATCCAAAAGGATTAGTCTGCGTCATCTGCGTCATTACTTTGTATTATACAACTTCGGCGGGTAATATTTCTCCATCCTTTTCGATCTGCAGCCAATCTTCTCATACAATCAATCGTGAGTCCATTACGATCCAATCTCTGCTCAGCATCTTCAATAAATACATCATTTAAGCTCTTCCTAGGCCTGCCTCTTGATCGTTTCCCATGCTTGGGTTTCCATTCAAGTAGATAGTTAGGTAACCGATCTTCATGCATTCTACTGACATGTATAAACCAACGTAGCCGTTTTGTTGCTATTATGTCAGTAAGAGCAGTTATTGAAGCCCTTCTTAAAACATCTTCATTTCTTACTCGATGGAACCACCTCACTCTCAGGATAGCGAGAATACATAAGTACAAACGTGAGAACAGTTGATATCCAACTGCCAGAAACGATAATGCTATAGGAAAAGCTAACAAGCTATGCTGCATTGCCTACACAACTTTTTCTTGGTCTGGCTGGTTCATCAGAAAAATTCTGCAAACTCAATGTCATAATTAAATAACTGAGTGCATCGAATTGCGCGGCGCGCGCGCACTCAAAGCTAGCTAGTGCAGGTACGATGTGCTAATTTTATCGATAATTAGTTAAAGCGCCCTCCTGTTAAGTGTCGTAATTGTCTACGTCTGATTGAGGTGATCAGATTTTGTATGGTGTCTAAAATTCACTGAGGCAGAACCGCCACACAGTTTTAAATTAGTGATAGCTGTTAGGACTCAAGTTAATCATGTAATATCGTACTTGAGTTATCTCCGAGAAATTAGCCGATCACCGATGAAGATTACACTCGGTGTTCCCGCGCATTTGCAGGTCACAGTTCGCAGGCTTTTTAAGTGGCACTGATTTTGCGCCCTTATAGTGATACCTCGGTAGTCGGTCCTGACCAAGAACTTTCTGTCCGTCCCTTGACTCGAGAACAAAACCGCTTAGCAGAAGATGTGATGAGAACCTCATTAATTGTTTAACCACCATGTTAAAACCTGACTCAGAGTTGTGGTTCGGAGTATATCAAAATAACTTCTAACCACACCACAATCCGTGGGGGGTTCCATCCCATTTTCCCCATCCCCAAATCCACATTTCTTGTTGTTTAATGGGGTAGATGAAGTTATACATAATTCATCTAGTGCTACTCTCTCCTGAATGATACTACTAACTTTTAGCAAACATGGCCTGGTGAGAAGGGTAATCAAAAAGGTAACTTTTAGTGATCATAAATTTCTCGTTAGCAACCTCCCATCCTTCACAATTGACTGGCACGGAGATGAACCAAGATAGCGATGAAACTAAAAATATTCAAGGCATGACTTCAGAGCCGTCTCATAACTCAGAAAAGTGACATCCGGGTATTACTATTACTTGATGACAGTGTACCAACATCTGCCATACCGTGTATTATGTGTTTGACATCTGACATGTCAATACTCAATAGGAATATTTTGATGTGGACAGTTTGACTTTTAAACACACTCTTCCTAGATTCACTGTTACCTGAAGGAGACAGGTAAATGATGGACAGGGATTCTAGTACTTTCGTCTGGGATGAGACCTATTTTAAAACCATAAATCATAAAACTTCATCTTTATTTACTCCATACTTTTAAAACAAGGGACCCACCTACAGATTGTTCCCGCGGAGATTACAGGCGTATATGGTGTGTAGAGAACATGTAGACATTAACGGCCCAGACTACAAAGACAGCCAGGAAGACGGATAAATTAATCACAAAAACTCTGGTACTTGGTAACGCACGTTTCCCTTCTACTGCCTCTTCACGATTCATTAATCCTAAAGGTACGGGGAACAAACGTTGTTTAAATCTACGTTTCATCATTACATCTGTAAACATGCCCAAACATGCCAGCCATCGTCCGGATTATTAATTGTAAAAGAAATAATACTCGTAAAATCTATATACGTAAGGACTAAACGAGTGACATTAAATGCGAGCATTATGCACAATAATTTACACATGTTTGTTAGTTGGCGACCCTTTTCTCACTGCAAACTTGCAAAATGAATCCTCTCTGCTCCACAAAAGCAAAAATCTGTCCCCTAGGATAAATTTAGAGCACATGTAGTCCATCGCTACCCTGGGAACAGCCAACCTAGCGCCCAACAACATGTAGCTTCTTTGCTACACGTAGCGCATAAACTATGCTTCTTTTCTGGCTATAGATCAAATTTTAGGCTTCTATATTCAGAATCTTAACGTTTAGTCGTTTCGTAAATATGTAAATACTACTGAATGGCTAGACGAAAGCCAGCATTTGCTAATTTATTCATAGCATGAATATATTTTAACAATGACGTCAGGTTAGGATGTTTGCTGTGCAGTCCACAATAAATAAAGCCAGAAGTCAGAAGTGTTTTAAGTATTAGGTAATAAACGGGGCATGAGCTGAGCAGGGACCGGCGGTTAATTTTAATTTATAATTCATTTCATCCTAAATTTAACTTCTGATTCATATTTAGCAGAACTTAATACTGAAGTAGTGTATAAGAACTAAAATTACGACATTGTGAGCGGACTAAATGTATGACATTGTCTTCTTACTTTGTATAAAAGTTAGAAACAGCTTAAAGAAAATGAGACTTTTTTAGAACGTGAATTTATAAGAGTGCTTAAAATATGCTAAGACAAATCAATCAAACAAGGTGCTTAACGAAGGATTTCGCACTAAAATAACTTTGCGGCGGAGGAAGGGCTGCTTTACCTGTTTGGATCACCATCTATTTTATGGGGTTTCCTGAGAAGTCATTAGTTGAATATAATGAATAAAATGACCCGTATTAATGTAGACATGTTCCAATAATTGCACCCTCTGTATATAATATACATGAAGCCGTTATAGTTCCATCTCAATGTTCAGTTTATAAGATAAGGACAAAATATGTCAAAAAAGTTAATTTCACATTTTTTGGCAACTTTCCATTTTCGACCCAAAGGTCATATCAAACTGTTAATGTGGTAGACTATCAAACTGGTAATGTGGTAGGGGATTTTATAAAAATCTTCCAAAGAAAATAGAACGGTCAACGGTTTACGGAATAGGTGAAAACAGACAGAATTGACGATAAATGTTGGGGCCGAATTGTTTAAGTAGCTAGAGGTGATCATCTGTTATTTAAAAGAAAAAGTATAATTTTCCTTGGATTGGACTGGTTTTCAATAATTTAATTTGGATTTTTGCAAAATTCTCATGGTTATACTAGACCAGCTACAATCCACATACAGCAAGGGTTACGTACGTCAAATCTTGCATACTTCCAAGATCCCATTATATATATTAATTTTAATGATTATTAATTAGCATTTCCAGAATGTCAATACAATATAAGGAAAGATTTCGACTATTTAATCTCAGGAATTAACCGTGTTAGAACACTACTTACTTGAGATGTGGAATGAATAAATCTGACAGAATACCCAGCTGAGTACCGTATTCCTTCTCCGCCTGTTCCAACTCCACCACACACTTGTACAACTCTGAAACACAATCTAACTTCAGGGCACAACATCTTACATCTCACATTTAAAATGTGCTGTAATCAAATTTCCCAGAGAGCCACGAATAATAATGGAAACGTCGAGGTATTTAGTGTTTAGTCAGGATTTAGCTAGAGTTTACTGTTTAGTTTTTACCTCTGCTCATTGTAAAACACTTACCGTACGCTATTATATAATCTAAAAATAAACGGCCGAGTTCCAAATACTATGTTGACAAGCTGAGCGAGCTGCTGGTGTAAATACCGGAGACCAACATAGCAAGCAACAGTATCTGACCAACAAAAAGAAGGAATTTTACCAACAAAAAGAAGGGGAACATACCATGACAGGTCTCCGCCATAACTGGAGAAGGTATTACCACGTGACCTTCCTTATAAGGAGCGTTGTGACGTCATATCACGTGGTATTATGAGGGACACATGTGAACATAGCACTGTTACATACCTTGAGAGGAGCAGAGAGGAGTTATAAAGAGTGAAAGTTTATAAAATATACATATGTTTAAATATGAAATATAAATACATCAAGCTGAATCATTCGTCTTACTGAGGGTGTACAATGTGGAGCTATATTCCACAAGTTTTGCGCGCACCGTATTACGGATAGTACGCTACAAAGCTTCAGAGTTATGGAAACTATGACAAGAATTTGCGTTGTCCTGGTGCGCAACTGTGACCACAAAACAGCACTTAACGATAAGCTACTGTGACGAACTATTTGTGAGCCTATCGTCCTGAAATGACTTAGCAAACAAATCATCAGTACCAAGACATAGTTATAAATCATAATTACGTTATAATATACATAGAATTCTCGTTATTAGCGAAGATTTTGTAACATATATAAGTTGGAACTAGGAGCACAAGTATACACATATTACAGTGTATTTCATCGTACGTAATAGTGCAGCAATTTTAGACATGCAGCTGCTATGTTGAAGATCATGTCAAGTTCTGGGACCCGGTCACCTCAGTATTAGCCCTAACATTAGCCCTTTGAATGACAGGTGTTTCAGCCAACATATGGATCTGCTGGAGTTGTAAAACGTTGTCATTAGTGGCCTATCAGTTTGTCCTCTATAATCAGTTGTCATAGAATGTAACTACAAAGAATGGAATTTTCAGCGTTTCAAAAATACATCAACTTAGTAACCGAGTATAAATAACTAGGTAACTAGGTAACTATACTGATATATAAAAATAGCAAAACAATAAAACTGAAACATTGTGAAGACAAGACTGCGCTCCTACAATCTAGAATATACAAATTCATTACAGAAAATGCCATAAAAACGATTCTAAAAGTGTCTGTTGACAAACCTTTAAAAGACTGACAACGACTGTAGTCTACGTCAATGCTCTAACGATTGCAAGATAAAATCGTTGATTTAAAATATTTAAAATATCACCACTCATTACATATTAGACATTCTTTGAGTGCATACTGCACATGTACTTCTTTTTCTAAATTATGGTTCGTAACATACTACTTAAAATCAAAACTATTACTGACGTAGACCTGGAGACATTAATAATATCAAAACTAGGGTTATCCAGCAGAAAGTCAGGACTACTTTTCAATACGCAGCATGAGAAGACCATGACATCATCTTGACTATAGCAACTAAATTTTACTTCCAGAACAAATATGGACAAGATTTTTAAAAACCACACAGATAAGTCTGGAGAAGCCGGCTCAGCCACACACATTGACACCGCCCTCACTTAACAGCCACCAACTACCCACCTTGGTGTTAGGATCCCACTTTATCACTTATACCACATGGTGGGCCATCTTAGCATCCATTAAATACGCAGTGAGGAGACGTATTTTTGAGGAGACATGCCATATAATATGTAATGGCACATGTAATGGCACATGTAATGGCACATGTAATGGCACATGTAATGGCACATGTAATGGCACATGTAATGGCACATGTAATGGCACATGTAATGGCACATGTAATGGCACATGTAATGGCACATGTAATGGCACATGTAATGGCACATGTAATGGCACATGTAATGGCACATGTAATGGCACATGTAATGGCACATGTAATGGCACATGTAATGGCACATGTAATGGCACATGTAATGGCACATGTAATGGCACATGTAATAACACATGTAATGGCACATGTAATGGCACATGTAATAACACATGTAATGGCACATGTAATGGCACATGTAATGGCACATGTAATGGCACATGTAATGGCACATGTAATGGCACATGTAATGGCACATGTAATGGCACATGTAATGGCACATGTAATGGCACATGGTGATGCAGCTGTTTAGTGTTCAGCCATACTTAGACCGCGCTATTACTCCCAATACTTAGCAGGTCATATTAAATTTACACATCTTGTCTGTATCATGAACTATTGACACATGTATCCCGTTGGAATGTCCATTTTGTGGATGTGTCAAAATGTGTGGAATTTCTCCGGGTATTCGGGGTATGCGTGCGTGACATTCTGGTTTTAGCGGTCTATTTGAGACGTATGACATCATCAGGAATTAGCTTGACAATTAAAGAATTACTGTAGAGGGATGAAATGGTTTAGAATGCTTATGGTCAGTAGTCACAGCCAAACCTTTGCTGGAAACAGCCAGATAAAGATAATCTCGGGAGACAAAAGTAAAACAAGATTCACCATGTTTTATAAACGTTCCAAAGAGGATATTACGTCTTCAGAATAAACGGATTAGCATGTTAAGTGGGTGTGAAGATATATTGTACAGTACTAGGGTCTAAGATAATGAACACGTAAGTACATGATGATTGTCCTTCACAGACCTGTATCCTGGTGGTTTTACAACTGCAATAATCCTCAAACATGCGGGGGATCATACAATTAGTACCTGATCCCCCCCCCCCCCCCCCCCCCAATAATCCTGCTGCGATCAAGATCAATGTTTCCCGCATGGCAATCAAACAACGAATGCTGTGATCCCAGACAGAACCTCCATTTGCTCTTTGTGCTCATGGCATTTCAACTGCGAAGTTATTTTTAGAATATTTAAAAGACCGACGCAATCATGGCAGGGTTATACAGTGAAATAGCATTTAGGGCTATTTACATATTATGTCCCTCCAACTCTCTAATACGATGTCTGACGTTTCAACCAGAAAACTGTGACACTAACAGCTCCAACTCCCTAAGACAAGCTTTAAATTACACACAAACAGTAAACTAGGGAGGACAAACATCTTACTGCTGATCTGTGGTATACAGATCTGTGGTATACAGTATAAAGGTAGCCCTCTTGAGAAGAGACCTCGTGGTTTTCTCTCGGAGAATTAGGCTAGGATTTTGATGAAATCTCCGTTTAGTGTCATCATATCAGTTTGAAGTAAGGCTCTTCGGCAAAACGTATTAATTGATTTTAGGGCTGCTGTTTTTCTGCATGTGCACTTCAGCAGAATATCGTGGCAGGACACTTCTTTAGGATCATAGGTATGTGGCAAGACGGACTCTGTTGGTGAGTCGGCAAGAAGTGAAGATCTACATGTGGAACAGTAAACAGTTAGCCTCAGTAGGAAACAGTTCACAACCCCTGCTCTTACTTGTAAGATAAGAAGGTACAGATAAGCTAAAAGTAACTGTTAATGATGTCAATGCGGTGCCGACTTTTTATATTAATTTCTGCTAACAAATTGAAATATGAAATTTTACCATTCTGACAAACCAATGCTTCTTTGATGAGACGTTAGAAATGATCGTTATCTAAAGCGACACGTGTTCTAGAGTATGGAAGTACAGTTAAATGTAGGCACACAAGAACCAATCAACTAATTGATAGTTACCAAGTCTTTGAACCATTCCGCTAATTATCTAATCCAGATTTTTAATACCTTTCTCTCGTGCAAACTCTCATGCTAAGGCAAATATAATATAATATTATATTATATATTTTTAATTAGCGTAGCACAATATAAAAAGTAATATAATATGACAGAAGTGCCGCAATAATGCAAAAACAGTGACAGCACACCAGGCTTATAGGCCCTGTAGGCCATGCAGTGACAGGATAGTGACGCCGCAGTAACTCAGCAGTGAACGTGACGACTGACGGACCAGTGACCAAGTAGTGTCACAGTATCAGAAGTAGTGTCACAGTAGATCAGAAGTACGACATAAGTGAGTGACAGAAATGTGTGACATAACTGTCACAGCACTGGACAGGCAAGACCCAGCAATAAATACAATGATTTGATAAAGGTTCAACACACAACAAGGCAAAATGTAGCCGGAATGGGGTGAGACAAATAGGTACCAGACGAGTGTATAGTGTGAACTATGAAGTTAAAATAAAGTTAGACGTGTTGATACACACCGGTCCTTACAGTTGCTCATAACCTTATTCAATTACCCAGATAAACTTATCTTTCATCGATTTTCAAGGACACATTGAAATCTAATACTGGCTGTAACTGTGATGGGAGTGTGATTAAGGCTGTATGAAACATTGTTAACAGAGTATCACACACCCCACCCAGCAAAGCTAGATATCTGTATGAAACATTGTTAACAGAGTATCACACACCCCACACAGCAAAGCTAGATATCTGTATGAAACATTGTTAACAGAGTATCACACACCCCACCCAGCAAAGCTAGATATCTGTATGAAACATTGTTAACAGAGTATCACACACCCCACCCAGCAAAGCTAGATATCTGTATGAAACATTGTTAACAGAGTATCACACACCCCACCCAGCAAAGCTAGATATCTGTATGAAACATTGTTAACAGAGTATCACACACCACACACAGCAAAGCTAGATATCTGTATGAAACATTGTTAACAGAGTATCACACACCCCACCCAGCAAAGCTAGATATCTGTATGAAACATTGTTAACAGAGTATCACACACCCCACCCAGCAAAGCTAGATATCTGTATGAAACATTGTTAACAGAGTATCACACACCCCACCCAGCAAAGCTAGATATCTGTATGAAACATTGTTAACAGAGTATCACACACCCCACCCAGCAAAGCTAGATATCTGTATGAAACATTGTTAACAGAGTATCACACACCCCACCCAGCAAAGCTAGATATCTGTATGAAACATTGTTAACAGAGTTTCACACACCCCACCCAACAAAGCTAGATATCTGTATGAAACATTGTTAACAGAGTATCACACACCCCACCCAGCAAAGCTAGATATCTGTATGAAACATTGTTAACAGAGTATCACACACCCCACCCAGCAAAGCTAGATATCTGTATGAAACATTGTTAACAGAGTATCACACACCCCACCCAGCAAAGCTAGATATCAAGGATCTCTATAAATCAGGAAACTGTCTTACTTGTTGTCCGATATAATAGTCCGATATAATAGTATAATAGTCCGATATAATGGTTTTATTTAAGTATTGAAATTACATTACTGAGCTTTAATATTAAAACTTAA